ACCTTAAAAGAAAAAAAGGAAATTCACCAAGACCCTTCCCCATTCCTCAGGGTATCTGCAGCCAATGCCACTAGAGGTGTGAGGTAAGGGATGGATTCCAAAGGGCCAATGGGAGAACCCAGCCTCTCTTACCAGAAGCTAAGCAACTGAGATCAGACTCAGACCCCTCCCCAGGCCCCTCCACCCTGCAACCTCACCTCACCCACTGTCGCTGCCCTCCTCCCCCATCAAATCCCAGAAGTTTCACCATAACTGAGATCTGGCGATGAAAGGATTTTGCCTGTTAAATTAAATTGCTCAAAGCAGCCAACAGTGAAGAGAATGAAAACAGGATTGACCCAGATCTCTTGAAAGTCCTAGGGCTTCTGAGCATCACGAGGCCTGTGATGTTCCCAGGGATGAGACACTGTCCAGTCCAAAAGTAGCATCCTCTTTGTGCATAGTGGTCAGAACGAACTAAGGACCCAAACCCTGGTCTTCTACCCCAAACCCCCTGATTCTTTATGGCTATTCAGCTGCCCGGACTTCATGTCTAAAGCACTTAGACTCAATAAATAAATAAATAAATAAATAAATAAATAAATAAATAAATAAATAAAGCACTTAGACTCTGTTCCTTATAGCTCAGGGACAGGGAAAGTATTTTTTCTGCTCCATGTCCCTGGAAGCTTCAGCTTCCATCTGCCGCAGGGTGCCACACAGCACCAAAGCTATGACCCTGCACACATACACTGTCCCTTGCAAGAGCCTAGGGACCTTTGCTCAGAGCCAGGTCCCCTCTCCAGTTCCAGTAAACCTCCCTTGTGTCCAGACAGTTTTTGGGCTCAAATCTTAGGTCAAGCCATTTGGTAGAGAGGGTTCTGAACTCAGAGTCCAAAGATCTGCGTCTGCATTCCTGTGCAGACTTGTGACGACAGTGACCTCAGGCCCTTTTTACCTATGGTGGGGGTGATGCTTTGCATCCTACCTGTCTCTGGGGACAGCTGAGGTAACAGGAGGAGATTGGTGGGGGGTACCTGCAATGAAACTCATAGGGGCTAGAGACCCCTGGTCTGACAGATTCAGGGAACAAGAAAGACTTCTCTCCCAGCACCAGTGAGAATGGAAACAAGGGCCCTTTGAGGGAAACAGCCTCTCAGGAACTGCCATGGACAGCGATGGACAAAGTTACGTTTTTATGTAGTAATAAAAGGATGGGGGACTGAGGCCAAACTGTTGGGAAATGCCTGGGCATTTACTATATTGTGGAAAAGATGATAGCAAGTGGGACAAGAATAAAGGCCCAGAAGGTGAATCCCAGCCCTGTCACCTACTAGCTGTGTGACCTTAGGCAAGTTACTTAACATCTCTGGGCCTCAGTTTCATCATCTATAAAATGGGAGTAGTCATCTCCCAAGGTTACTGTGAAAATTAAGTGAAAGAATGTATGTGAAGTTCTTAGCTCATTAGCTGACAATATGTATACCAGAAGTGGCATTTTTCTTCAGGTTTTATTTATTTTTTAATTTTTAGAAAGATTTTATTTATTTATTTATTTGAGAGAGAGTGTTTGTGCATGAGAGAAAGCCTGAGGAGTGGGGAGGGGCAGAGGGAGAAGGAGAAGCCTTCTCCTCCCCCCACTGAGCAGGGAGTCTGATAGGCAGATGCTTAAACAATGGGGCTATACAGACACCCCATGTTTTATTTTTATTTTTATTTTTTTTAAGATTTTATTTATTTATTCATAGGCACAGAGAGAGAGAGGGGCAGAGACACAGAGGGAGAAGCAGGCTCTATGCAGGGAGCCCGATGTGGGACTCGATCCCGGGTCTCCAGGATCACACCCCAGGGTGCAGGCGGTGCCAAACCATTGCGTCACCGGGGCTGCCCCATGTTTTATTTTTAATAAAGCACTTCCTGAGTGCCTGCCATCTTTTTGATCATCTATTTGTTTCTTCATTTGTCCATTCAGTAGAAAAGTTCAAGTGCCACAGTGTGCCAGAATCTATGAAATGCTCTATTAAAAAATAAAGTGTAGGGACACCTGGGTGGCTCAGCGGTTGAGCACCTGCCCCTGGCTCAGGGTGTGATCCACAGTCTCAGGATTGAGTCCCACATCGGGCTCCCTCCTTGGAGCCTGCTTCTCCCTCTGCCTATGTCTCTGCCTTTCTTTCTCTGTGTCTTTCATGAATAAATAAATAAAATCTTAAAAAAATAAAAATTAAAAATAAAAATAAAAAAATAAAAAATAAAGTGTAGGGGAGCCTGAGTAGCTCAGTCGCATCTGACTCTTGGTTTTGGCTCATGTCATGATCTTAGGGTCATAAGATCGAACCCTGAGATGGGCTCCACGCTGGGCATGGAGCCTGCTTAAGAGTCTCCTTGGGCAGCCCGGGTGGCTCAGCAGTTTAGCGTTTCCTTCAGCCCAGGGTGTGATCCTGGAGACCTGGGATCAAGTCCCGCATTAGGCTCCCAGCATGGAGCCTGCTTCTCCCTCTGCCTGTGCCTCTGCTTTCTCTCTCTCTCTCTCTCTCTCAAGAATAAATAAATAAACATCTTTTTTTTTATTTTATTTATGATAGTCACACACACACAGAGAGAGAGAGGCAGAGACATAGGCAGAGGGAGTGCCATGCACCGGGAGCCCGACGTGGGATTTGATCCCGGGTCTCCAGGATCACGCCCTGGGCCAAAGGCAGGCGCCAAACCGCTGCGCCACCCAGGGATCCCAATAAATAAACATCTTAAAAAAAAAAAAAATCTCCCTCTGCCCCTTTCCCTCTATCTCTAAAAAAAAGGAGAGCTTGAAAAGGATGAAGGGATTTTTTTAAAAAGTGAAGATTTATATAGTGCTGGGCCACAGCTCTTTTACACACATTACTTCATTTTACCTTCCCACATCCTCCAAGGAGAGGATAAGAACACAGAGGCTCTGGGGATACGGCAATTTTCCCAAGATACCAACTAACACATGCCACAGACTTAAACTCAGGTCTCCAGATATGAAATCCAATTGACTTTACAGGACACCTCACTGCCAGAAGGACAGGGCAATTAATAAATGAGTAAGATGGGACCCCTCCCTATAAGTCTCCACTACTGATGCTCCCAGAACCCTGGACACCTCCCTTCATTGTCGTCTTTTCTGGGGTGCCCTATTAGAGTTAACTACTCTGACTCATCTCCATATTCTAGGAGCCTTCCCAGAACGAGGTATTGCATCTGGTGGACAACACCTGTGTCCATCTGGCTTCTTAGTTGCCAACAAGGGAGCAGGAACCAGGTCATGGCGGTGCCCCAGCTGTAAAAGGGCTGAGAAAGTGAAGGTCTAGCTTCTATCTGGAAGAGTGGGATTCAGAGCGGAAGAGTGTTCAACAGCTATGGAAGCCAAAGAGAATGCCAGATGTTCTGTGTCCTGGCCTGAATCTGAATTGGGGCGGGGTGGGGGCGGGATGGAGCAGAGAATCCTTCCAGCAGAGCCTCGGAGTCCTTCTGGGGGCTCAGAGCCAGGATCTTAGACTTCTGAGGCCAAAGGTGTTCAGGCAGATGCCTAGCCAAGGAGGCCTCGCTCTGCACAGGCATAAAGACACAAGCCTCTGACCTTGCCCTATCCGGGTGCATTGGCAGGGTTTGCCGGGATTTGGTCACTCAGTGCAGTGGGAGTCTCACTATTTAGAGGCAGGTATGGCTCCCACTGGGGCACCAGCTTTGGGAGGAGTCCTCAGGTCTGACATTGAGCATTCCAACCAACAGGGCTCCACCGAGCTGTGGGCTCCAGGGGACAATCTGGATACCCACAGTCTGATACCCTAAAATGTACACAAGCCCTCTAACTACCTTGGTTTCTCTAAGGCAAACTATTGAGACTAGGGAAGAGCCAGAGAAACAGGAAAAGAATGAGAGAAATGGCAATTAGGATAAATGTAAGATGATCGCATGGACAAGCCCAACAGAGACAGAGAGAGAGAGAGAGAGAGAGAGAGAGAGAGAGAGAGAGAGGAGGGCGAGGTGACTGATGCTGCCCCCTGGAGTCAGCTCTGGGGGAGGAGAACTGAATTTGGTGAAAAGGAGGCAGGAGTTTGCTGTGCAAAGCCAGGGAGGGAAAGGTGTTCTGTACCAGGGAACAGCATGTTCAGGGACAAAAAGCTTGGAGCAGGCAAGTTGCTGAGGAATGCTGACAGCTGGCTGGCTGGACGGGACGCAGGAAGCAGGCAGGGCAGGCCAGCAGGGCAAAACCAAAAACCGGAACAGGAGACCTGGCCATGACCTTTGGAGGGAGAACAAACCATTCTTGGGAGGTTGAGCAGTTTTGCATTTGAAAGGGCAATTGGCATCTGTGCTGAGAAATAAAGCCATGTTTGCAGTGTCAATGCTGTGCCAGGTGGCTTCCGTGGCTTCATGGGAGCATTTTTCTCTCCATCACAGTGTGTGAGCATTTCATGGATGGGGACAGGGTTTTCTATGGGAGTAGAGTAGCTTGTATGAACCGAGAGCAGCACAGAAGGGACCTTGGCAGAGCCATACCACACCCTCCAGGGTAAGGACTCCCTCACATGGAAGAGAGCAAGTTTATTAAAGCATTCTCTCAAAAAAAAAAAAAAAAAAAAAAAAAGAATTCTCTCTGGGGCACCTGGTGGGCTCAGTCAATGGAGTATGCAACTCTTGATCTCGGGATTGTGAGTTTGAGCCCCACATTGGGTGTAAAGGTCATATAAAAATAAAATCTTTAAAAAAAATTCTCTCTTTTGATCTTAAGATCTGAAATCTGAGTACCCTCTCCTCCGGGCCTTCATCGCACCACCCCAGGTCACAACACTCAACACCTTAAATGAGCCATCTGTTAAGGAACCCCCAGACAGAGGCTTTTCGGTGGTGAGGCCCATGTGCCCGATGCTTGGCAGACACTTATTAACAGCTGTTGGATGAAGTCTTCTGTAAATAATACCTTTGGTGATTTCCTAGCTTCAGCCAACTCTTGGTCACTCTGGTTCACCGAAGTCATGCAGAAAGGAAGGGGCGCCATGCACCTCTGTCATGTGGCCCAGGGCAAGCGTGTTCCCTCCCCAGTCAGGTGAGTCAGGGAGGGAAGGCTTCCTGGAATAGGAGAGGCCTAGGTGACCCCCAGGGGAAGTGGGGCTTGGGCTCAGGAGTGAGGACAGAGGCTGGTGGAGGCCACGTGGGGAAAGAATGTCAGCTTCTCACCTCTCGATGCCATGTCTCCGCACCCGTGAAAAGCAAATTCTCATACCTGCCTCGGCAGGCTCTTCTGAGGTGGTGGGTGTCAGGAGAGGGTGGAGGAAGGAAAGAAACCAGCCCTGCCTGAGCCAGCATACGGACCATGTCCTCTGCTGGGCGGCCATTCCATACCTCCTCGCTATGTGTCAGCCTCAGCAGGTTATTGGTGGTGAGTCACAGACCCTCCGGACCTGTTTACCCACCGACTGAGTGGGTTCAGTAATGACACTGACCTGGTAGGGTTTCATGAGGTCTTGGTGTGAGGTTTTTGTTGCTCTCCTGATCTTGTCTGTTTTTGTAGCTATGTGGAGGATGAGATGAACCAGACACCGAACCTGCTGTACCCTTTGGGGTGGACTCCTAACTCACCCTGGAATTTGTGAGCACTTACCAGAACTGTTCTAAGTTCCTTATATATGTATCAAGTCATTTAATTCCCAAACCCCCTGCTGTTATCCATATCTTGCAAGTCATAAATCTAAGGCTTCTGTCCCCCTTTGCCTTATTCGCTCAGCTGCCCACCAAATACTGTGCTTACCAGGTGCTCAGTAGCCTGGCTTTGGGTCAGCCCACACTTGTCAACACACCCAGTCCTCCTGGGCCAGCCAGATGTCTGGGCAGGCCTTGGAGCTCCCAGGCCTGTCACCGCACCCTGTCTCAGCCCCACCTGGCCACCTTCCCTGCCCAGCTGGATAGCTCAGCAGCTGCCAAGGCCTGTCATTCTTCCCCTGCGCACCCAGTTGTTTGGGTGTGGGCAAATACCAGGCAGGTGAGGAGCCATGGCTCCTCCGCAGACCTGGCTGCTCTCACCCTCAAGGTACAGGGTAGGCATAGGCCAGGGAGCAAGGGAGAAACAGGGTGTCTCCCAGGCTCAGGAGTGCTGAGACTGGATGGCCATTGAATCACGGTGTTAACTCATCTGGAAGCCAGAACAAATGCCTGTAGGTGTCCAGCTGGATCCAAGGAGAGGCATGGCATCCTTGATGCTGAGTACAGAGCTGTCATCTGCCCAGGTGCAGGGACAATTTATATCGCTTTTCAAACTTGAGGCAACTGGTCCCAACTTTTTCCCCCTCTTCTGAATCTTTCAGGGCCCATGATGAACCCAGAAAAGAGGGGGAAAGCAAAGCTTCCCAGCATGAATTAGGAAACTAAGTCTCATGGGAATTTGACAACATTGCAGTTGCCCAGTGGGGTTTTCTGCCCTCAAGAAGCTGAAGCTTAAACATAGAACTGAAGGCCCAAGAGGGGTAGCTCGTCACTGTCCTCAGCAAGCCAGCCAACACCAGCCTCTGCTCTTCCCACCACCCCATGCTGCCTGGCATTGGAGGAAGGAAATGTCCTATGTCAAAGTACTTCTAATAGAAAAAGAAGACAAAAATAGGTGATGAATGCTAAAAAGGACCTTGAAAATAATCTCCCAGTCATTCTAGGAGCCCTGTGTTCCTTGGTGGGGTAGGCCCAGCATCTTGCAGAAAGGGAGCATAGTCAGACCTTAGGGCACTTCTTCTCCCTTCCACACTCTCTTCCGTGGGCCCCTTTGCTCACAGTCTCTTACACATGGGGCACAGGCCCCTGGCTGCTTTCTCACCCCGGGGTTCACTGAACTCCACCTGTCACCTGACCTGTGTGTCCCATTCACCTTCCTGTGACCAGAGACCATGCCTTGACAATGAGGTAGGTGTGATCAGCTGCAGAGGTGAGAAGGAGGCTGGACCCTCACTGTCTTGTTTGGGCAGCAGCACGCGTTACCAGGGTGAAGCATGCAAAATCCAGCACGAAGCTTTATCAGTCACTCACTCCAAAGCTCCCCACCCAGGGCTTCCGGAAACCTTGCCTTCTTGCTCTGCACCAGTCAGGCACTCTCTTCAAGCAGGCTCAGCACTGTGTGAGCCTCATAGGAAGTCGCTTCAATGAGGAGAAAGTCAGGAAAGTCCTCGGACTTGGAACCTGCTGTTTGTTAGCCAACTAACTAGAAGCAACTCACCCACTTTGCTGACCAGAATGTTCTCACCCAGAAAATGGGGGTAAATTCCACTTGATAAGACTCAAGTGAGACTGGCCCCATAGAAAAGAAACCGGCATCCCCCAGGTTAGCCCTCAGGAACCCCACTGCCATGAAATTCTCCATGGAAAAAAGGCTCCATGGGTGAATAGGTTTGGGAAAAGCTGTACCTTCTAGAATGTACGCTAGTAGGTCAATGATTCTAAGACATGCCGTAAAGAAGTCAGGTGGAAATTGCTTAAATCAGGGTTTCCCAGACTTGACCCAGAAATCCTTTTTTTTTCTTTTTTCTTTTTTTTAAATTTATTTATTATTTATTTATTCATTTATGATAGGCACACAGTGAGAGAGAGAGAGGCAGAGACACAGGCAGAGGGAGAAGCAGGCTCCATGCACCGGGAGCCCGACGTGGGATTCGATCCCGGGTCTCCAGGATCGTGCCCTGGGCCAAGGGCAGGCGCCAAACTGCTGCGCCACCCAGGGATCCCCATCTTTTTTCTTTTTTTTTTTAAATAAGCATTCTATGAGGTGGTGTTCTGGCTGTCCTTATTTATTTATTTATTTATTTATTTATTTAGGGTGTCCCTTTTGGAAATGTTAGATGGCCGTGGGCCTTGGAGAATGGCAACGAGTCCACTTTTGTGGGAGGAGAGTGTTCAATTTAAGAGGAGGGTGGCGGCAGCCTGGAACTTAGGTGAGCCTTCCACATGCTCCTGTGCTGTGGGAAGAAGTAGACCCTGACATTGACATGATGAAGGGCAGTTCGACTGCACTGATTAAAATGTTGAAGGCTCAAGGCACCTGGGTGGCTTAGTTGGTTAAGCAACTGCATTCGGCTTGGGTGATGATCCCAGTGTCCTGGAATTGAGCCCCATGTAGGAATCCCTGCTCAGCAGAGAATCTGTTTCTCCCTTCCCGCTGTTGCTCCTTCTGCTTGTGCTCTTTCTCTCTGTCAAAATAAATAGATTAAATTAAAAAATGTTGAAAGGTCGGGGGCCTTCGCTGGCCCAGGGTTGTTTTTTTTTTTTTAATTAAGAAATCTCTACACCCAGACACCTGGCTGGCTCAGTGGTTGAGTGTCTGCCTTTGGCTCAGGTCATGATCCTGGGGTCCTGTGATGGAGTCCCACATAGGGCTCCCATATAGAGAGCCTGCTTCTCCCTCTGCCTAATGTCTCTGCCTCTCTCTGTGTGTCTCTCATGAATAAATACATAAAAATCTTAAAAAGAAGTAGAAGAAGATGATGACTCTATGAGCCCAAGATGGGGCTTGAACTCACAACCCCAAGAATAAGAGTGGCATGCCCTATTGACTGAGCCAGCCAGTGCCCCCAGATTCTTGGGAGGATTTTGAAAAGCAGTGTTCCAATGCTGGGTGGGGGCTCCCTCAAAGTTAGTCTGTGATTCATTTGTTGTCTCTGGTCTCTAGGAGCTCACAGCCTAGAAGGGACATGTGCACAAGGGATACCTGCCTACCCCGTTCCCACCAGAATGCAGTGAGTGTCTATTTGGACTTATATCTGTATTATGTTTACTAATGTGCTTGTTCCCTGTCCTGTCTTGCATTACTGACTTTCCTTCTGATTCTTCCCCGTGCTTTGGAAGTGTATCCTTTAGAAGTTCATCTAGTTCAGTTCTCTTGGTGTGGAACTTGTTCTTTTTGTTTATCTGTGATTCTTTTTATTTTACTTTTATTCTTGTAAGGTGGCTTTGCTGGTTGCACCATTCTAGTTGAGGGAGACTTTCTGCACTTGGTGGGTAGTGTCCTGTGGTCTTTAGTCTCTGATGGCTGCTGATGAGTGGCCACTAAGTGTCCCTGTGTAAGTGTTCTGGCCTTCTGTGACATGGGGCTGCATTCCAGGACTCTGGGATCATAACCTGAGCCAAAAGCAGACATTCAATTAACTAAGCCATCCAGGGGCCCTTAAGTAATTTTTTTTCTTTTTTAAGATTGTATTTATTTATTCATGAGACACAGAGAGAGAGACAGGCAGAGACACAGGCAGAGGGAGAAGCAGGATCCATGCAGGGAGCCTGACATGGGACTTGATCCCGGGTCTCTAGGATCAAGCCCTGGGCTAAAGGCGGCACTAAACTGCTGAGCCACCCGGGCTGCTCGCCCTTAAGTAATTTAACATATTTCTCCAGTGAATTCTCTTCATTTGGGACTAATCTGTAGTTTAACCTATCAATTGAGTTTTATATTCCTTTTTTTTTAAAAGATTTTATTTATTTATTCATGAGAGACACACAGAGAGAGGCAGAGACATAGGCAGAGGGAGAAGCAGGCTCCATGCCGAGATTTTATTTATTTATTTATTTATTTATTTATTTATTTATTTATTTATTTATTTAAGAGAGAGAGAGAGAGAGAGAGAGAGAGAGAATGAGCGTGAGCAGAGGGAGAGAGAAAGGGAGAAGCAGATGTTCTACTGAGCAAGGAGCCTGACACAGGGCTCCATTCCAGATCCATGGGATCATGACCTGAGCTGAAGGTAGCCGCTTAACTGAATGAGCCACTCAGATGTCCCTATAGATTTCAATAATTATTCACTTTTATAAAAATTATGAGCTCTGGATGTTAATTCAGAAAACTCCTAGTTAAACAGTCTGCTCCCCAGACACAAGGATTTAGCTCATGTGCTTGTTTCCAGAGTAAGTTAGTAAATTTTTTGGTATCATTTGAATTTGCTTCGGGGCAATACAATGCCTATGTTTAAACAGTAATTTCATTTTATTTTATTTATTCATAGAGACACACACAGAGAGAGGCAGAGACACAGGCAGAGGGAGAAGGAGGCATCATACAGGGAGCCTGATGTGGGACTCCATCCAGGGTCTCCAGGATCATGCCCTGGGCTGCAGGCAGCACTAAACCACTGTGCCACCAGGGCTGCCCTAAACAGAAATTTCAAAATAAACAGTGATAGTACAATGATTGTGAAATTTAAAAAAAACTTTTGTGTTTCAGTCATTCTGTGTGACTAGTTATAATTCTTATTTGGTTTGGTTTACATATTATTTATGTATTAATTGGTTTAAATTTTAAAACATGAAATAGAGTGCAAACTGTAAGGGGTTTTTCTGTCATTTTTTTTAAGATTTTATTTATTTATTCATGAGAGACACAGAGAGAGACAGAGATATAGGCAGAGGGAAAAGCAGGCTCCCCGCAGGGAGCCCAAAGCGGGGACTCAATCCCCAGACCTGGGATCACATCCTGAGCTGAAGGCAAATGCCCAACCACTGAGGCACCCTGGCATCCCTTGTCATTGTTTTTTAAGTAGACACTATACCCAGCGAAGCCCTAATGTGGGGCTTGAACTCATGACCGTGAGATTAAGAACTGAGTGACCGTGAGATTAAGAACTGAGCTGAGGGATCCCTGGGTGGTGCAGCGGTTTGGCGCCTGCCTTTGGCCCAGGGCACGATCCTGGAGACCCGGGATCGAATTCCCACATTGGGCTCCCGGTGCCTGGAGCCTGCTTCTCCCTCTGCCTATGTCTCTGCCTCTCTCTGTGTGTGACTATCATAAATAAATAAAAACAAAAAACAAAAAACTGTAAGGCCAAGCTCTTCACTTATTTAAAAAAAAAAAAAAAGAACTGAGCTGAGATCAAGAGTCAGACATTTAGCTGACCAAGCCACCCAGGTGCCCAAGGGGTGATATTTTTTATAGTGCCAGTCTTACCTTATACTTAAGCTATTTTACTGAATCTGCATATTGGCCTAAAATGGAAATGTATTTGTTCATTATTATTCTTTTTATTTATTATTTAACCGCTGGTATACTCTAATATTATTTATTATTGCAACAGGCCAGTATGTAAATGCAAGTTAAAAATATATATTAATGCAATTAAAATTATCAACTCACCTTTCCCTACTTTGGTGGTAATATTTATTTTATTTTATTTTATTTTATTTTATTTTTATTTATTTATGATAGTCACAGAGAGAGAGAGAGAGAGGCAGAGACACAGGCAGAGGGAGAAGCAGGCTCCATGCACCGGGAGCCCGACGTGGGATTCGATCCCCGGTCTCCAGGATCGCGCCCTGGGCCAAAGGCAGGCGCCAAACCGCTGCGCCACCCAGGGATCCCTATTTTATTTTTTATTAAAAACTTTTTTTGCTGGTTTGCTTACATTTCAATAAGACAATTAAAAAAAAAAAAGACTGAGTTTCGTGTAAAAAGGACATTCCCTGGAAGTGTCAGCAACGATGAGGACATATGTGCAGGAATGGCACAGGAGTCCTGGGTCAGAGGGTTGGGGGTGTTGCCGGGACTCATCCTAAGTAGATGAGACCTGTAAAATCCAGAGAAGTTAAATATTTTGTTCAGGGTCACACAACTAGTTAGGAGTGAAGCCAGAATTGGAACGTAAGCCTTCTTATTTCTTGATTAGGGCCTAGCAATTGCTCAGGACCATCCAACAGGTTAGAGTTTAGGCATTGAAAACATTGAGATGATTCACACCCTGTGTCATCCAAAATAAACCATGAATGAAATATATAGAAACCCAACAAAAGGGTGCCTGGCTGGCTCAGTCAGTGACTCTTGATCTCGGTGTTGTGAGCTCGAGCCCCAGACTGGGTGTAGAGATTAGTTAAAAATAATAAAATCCTGGGCAGCCCCAGTGGCTCAGTGGTTTAGTGCCGCCTTCAGCCCAGGGCCTGATCCTGGGGACCCAGGATCCAGTCCCACATCAGGCTCCCTGCATGGAGCCTGCTTCTCCCTCTGCCTGTGCCTCTGCCTCTCTCTCTCTGTGTCTCTCTCATGAATAAATAAAAAGTAAAATCTTAAAAAAATAATAATGAAATCAAGAAAGAAAGAAAGAAAGAAAGAAAGAAAGAAAGAAAGAAAGAAAGAAAGAAAGAGAAAGGGAATCCCTGGGTGGCTCAGCAGTTGGGTGCCTGCGTTTGGCCCGGGGCATGATCCTGGAGTCCAGTGATCGAGTCCTAAGTCTGGCTCCCTGCATGGAGCCTGCTTCTGTCTCTGCCTCTCTCTCTCTCTCTATCATGAATAAATAAATTTAATTTTTTTTAAAAAGAAAGAAAGAAACCCAACAAATATCTAGTGTCTTTCCATGATGATCACTTTGCTGTATTTATTAAAATATACACTGATGGTGGTGCGTCTGATTGGCTCAGCCAGTAGGGCTTGCAACTCTTGATCTCAGGGTTGTGAGTTCGAGTCCCATGGTAGATATAGAGATTATTTAAAAAGAAAAAAATACATCAATGGGGCACCTGGCTGGCTCAGTTGTAGAGCATGTGACTCAATCCTAGGGTCTTGAGTTCAAGCCCCGTATTGGGCAAGGAGCCTACTTAAATAAATGAAAATAATTAAATATATGTTTTAATATACACATATATGTTATATGTGTATATATATATACACACACTGATAATGCACCCCTACCCCCTCCTTTTTGTTTCCAGTTTTGGTGCTCCTTCTTTGCACTACGTGCAGCACATGCTTGAACTACGCTTTTGGTTACTGCAGCCTGAACAAAGAACAGCCGCAGCTTTGCCTGTGCTCAGGGCAGGCAAGATGTCCTTAAATGTAGCTGAAAGCCAAGGGTGAGTTGGGGAGCTCCTGCAGAAACTCCAGCTCCTCCCAGTTACTGGTTCAGGGGAAGAGAAGCTGGAAGGCTGAGGCCTGGGAGGCTAAGCTGGGGCACTATCGCCACCTGCTGGCACACCCCGCCTACGGCAGTGGTCGCAGCTGCAAGCCCCGCGGGGAGACACAAGAACAAAGGATGCCTGTGGGTGGAGGCGTCGGGCTGCGCCATCCGCCTTTGCGGGAAGAGCGACCGCTCTGCGGGGGCTGGCAGGGGCTGCCTCCTGGGAAGGGTGAGCGCCCTGACCTGCGAGTGCGCAAGCTGGGAGCGCTGGCTTGGACTTCACACGACTTCCAGGCATCAGCATCTGCAAATCCGAATGGCCAGGGTCTTAAGATCTTAGAATCGTCAAGGTCACTCGCACTCCCAGGACCCTCCCACCCGGTCACAGTCGTGTCGAGGCTGGGAATTGCCCGAGATCGTCCGGTTCGCCGCCGACGCTGTTTCTGCCTCCCTCCTTGTCGCTCCTCCGCCCTCGCCCCAGTGTGGGCAGCCTTTGTCACCAAGGTCGTTGGCGGCGTTCCGGCCCGGCCCGCAGAACTTTGCCTTATCTCTCAGGCCTTCCGGCGGCACAGCCCGTGGCTCCCCACTCCCCTTCCCCGGCCCCCAACCCGTCCCTGCCCCTGCTCCGGCTCCGGCCCCGGCCCCTCCCCGGCCCGGCCCGGCCCCTGTCCCGGCCCCTGACCCGGCCCGGCCCGGCCCCTGCTCCTGCCCCGGCCCCTTCCCCGGCCCGGCCCGGCCCCTGTTCCTGCCCCGACCCCGCCCCCCGCCCCTGCCCCAGCGCCTGCCCCTGCTGCGACCCCGACCCCTGCCCCGGCTCCGCCCGGCCCGGGGCCTCTGACATCCTGCCCTCCCGCCCCTCACGGCTTCCCTGCGGCCCTAGGCGTCCCGCTCCCGCCCTCACCCGGGCCCTGAACATCCAATGCCATTTAGGTGCTTGGGACAAGCTGCTGTCACCACCCTGGATATTTCTCCAGAGCAGTTCCTCACGTTCACCCTCTGACCACCCAGGCATCTGGACACATCTGTTCACAGCTGCCCTGTCCACACAAGAGCTCAGCGCGAAAGTTCTCTCCTCTTCGACTTCGTTCTTTTAAAATAACTTCATACTTATAGAACAGTTGCAAAAATAGTACAAAGAACTCTTTTATTCTCTTTATCAAGAGTCATTAATTTTGGGGGGCGCCTGGCTGGCTCAGTCAGATGCAACTCCTTACCTCTGGGTTGTGAGCTCCAGCCCCACTGTTGGGCATAGGGTTTACTTTAAAAAAAAAAAAAAAAAAAAAGAGAGGCACAGGGATCCCTGGGTGGCGCAGTGGTTTGGCGCCTGCCTTTGGCTCAGGGCGCGATCCTGGAGACCCGGGATCGAATCCCATATCGGGCTCCCGGTGCATGGAGCCTGCTTCTCCCTCTGCCTATATCTCTGCCCCCGCCTCCCTCTCTGTGACTATCATAAATAAATAAATTAAAAAAAAAAAAAAAAAAAAAAGAGGCACAGAGCTTGCCGGGTGGCTCAGCGGTTTAGCGCCGCCTTCAGCCCAGGGCCTGATCTTGGAGACCGAGGATGGAGCCCCACGTCGCACTCCCTGCATGGAGCCTGCTTCTCCCTCTGCCTGTGTCTCTGCTGCGTTCTCTCTCGCTCTCTGTGTCTCTCATCAATAAATAAATAAAATCTTTTTTTTAATTTTTATTTATGATAGTCACAGAGAGAGAGAGGGGGGGGCAGAGACATAGGCAGAGGGAGAAGCAGGCTCCATGCACCGGGAGCCCGACGTGGGATTCGATCCTGGGTCTCCAGGATCACGCCCCGGGCCAAAGGCAGGCGCCAAACCGCTGCGCCACCCAGGGATCCCTAAATAAGATCTTTAAAAATAAGAAAATAGGGGATGGGCTCTCTGCTCCTCCCCGTTTGACAGACAGCCGCGTCTTCTGGTGCAGGGCCAGCCGCGTCCCCGAGACAGGGCGGTGAAGGTCGGAGTGAACGGATTTGGCCTTATTGGGCGCCTGGTCACCAGGGCTGCTTTTAACTCTGGCAAAGTGGATATTGTCGCCATCAATGACCCCTTCATTGATCTCAACTACATGGTGCACATGTTCCAGTATGATTCTACCCACGGCAAATTCCACGGCACAGTCAAGGCTGAGAACGGGAAACTTGTCATCAACGGGAAGTCCATCTCCATCTTCCAGGAGCGAGATCCCGCCAACATCAAATGGGGTGATGCTGGTGCTGAGTATGTTGTGGAGTCCACTGGGGTCTTCACCACCATGGAGAAGGCTGGGGCTCACTTGAAGGGCGGGGCCAAGAGGGTCATCATCTCTGCTCCTTCTGCTGATGCCCCCATGTTTGTGATGGGCGTGAACCACGAGAAGTATGACAACTCCCTCAAGATTGTCAGCAATGCCTCCTGCACCACCAACTGCTTGGCTCCTCTAGCCAAAGTCATCCATGACCACTTCGGCATCGTGGAGGGCCTCATGACCACCGTCCATGCCACCACTGCCACCCAGAAGACCGTGGACGGCCCCTCTGGGAAGCTGTGGCGTCACAGCCAAGGGGCTGCCCAGAACATCATCCCTGCTTCCACTGGCGCCGCCAAGGCTGTGGGCAAGGTCGTCCCTGAGCTGAACGGGAAGCTCACTGGCATGGCCTTCCGTGTTCCCACCCCCAATGTGTCAGTTGTGGATCTGACCTGCCGCCTGGAGAAAGCTGCCAAATATGACGATATCAAGAAGGTAGTGAAGCAGGCATTGGAGGGCCCCCTCAAGGGCATCCTGGGCTACACTGAGGACCAGGTTGTCTCCTGTGATTTCAACAGTGACACCCACTCTTCCACCTTCGACGCTGGGGCTGGCATTGCCCTCAATGACCACTTTGTCAAGCTCATTTCCTGGTATGACAATGAATTCGGCTACAGCAACCGGGTGGTGGACCTCATGGTCCACATGGCCTCCAAGGAGTAAGAGCCTCCTGGACCACCAGCCCCAGCAAGAACAAGAGGAAGAGAGAGGCCCTCAGCTTCTGGGGAGTCCCGGCCCCAACTTAATCCCCCAACACACTGAGAATCTCCTGACCTCCAATTTACATCCTAGACCCCGAGGAAGGGGAGGGGCTTGGGGAGCCCTACCTTGTCATGTACCATCAATAAAATACTGTACCCAGCCAAAAAAAAGAAAAAAGAAAAAGAAAGAAAATAGGGGATCCCTGGGTGGCTCAGCAATTTAGCGCCTGCCTTTGGCCCAGGGCGCGATCCTGGGGTGCCGGGATTGAGTCCCGCGTCGGGCTCCCGGCATGGAGCCTGCTTCTCCCTCTGCCTGTGTCTCTGCCTTTCTCTCTCTCTCTGTGTCTATCATGAATAAATTAAAAAATTAAAAAAAATAAAAATAAAATAAAAAAAGAGGCACAGAGTTTCCTTTAAAAAAGGCATTAGTTTTCTTAAAAAAAAAAAGAATAAGTCATTGATCTTTTACATTTGTCCTATTTGCTTTCTCTTCTATATCTCCCTTACACAGACACATTTACATCTTTTTTGTTTTTGTTTTTATTAAACTACTTGGAAGTAAATTACATCAGTCTTTTTTTTTTTTTTTTTTTTTGAGAGAGTGGAGGAGCAGAAGGAAAGGCTCCATATCCAATGTGGAAGCCTGATGCTGGACTTGATCTCAAGACTTTGAGATCATGACCAAACTGAAATCAAGAGTCTGGCACTTAACTAAGCCCCACCCTCCCTACTTTTTCTTTTTTTTAAGTAGGCTCCACACCCAATGTGAGATTTGAACTCACAACCCTGAGATTAAGAGTCCTATGCTTCACCGACTGAGCCAGCCAACCACTCCCCTACATCATAGTCCTTAACCTTAACGGCAGTGTTATATCCTGAGAATAAGGATATCCTTAGATAATTATCAAATTCAGGAGTTTAACACTGAAGCAGGGGCAGCCCGGATGGAGCAGCGGTTTAGCGCCGCCTGCAGCCCAGGGCGCAATCCTGGAGACCCAGGATCAAGTCCCATGTGGGGTTCCCTGCATGGAGCCTGCTTCCCCCTCTGCCTGTGCCTCTGCCTCTCTCTCTCGCTCTGTATCTCTTGTGAGTAAATAAAATAAAATCCTTAAAAAAACAAAATACTGAAGCAATCTTTTAACCTAATTAATAGTCCATATTACTATTTTGTCAATTGTCTCAAAAATGTCCTTTACATCATTTTCTTTTTTATCTTGGTTTAGGATCCCATATTTCATTTAGTTGTCAGGTCTCTGGAGTCACTAAACCGCTGAGCCACCCAGGGATCCCCTGGAGTCTCCTTTAATCTGGAACATTCCTCAGCCCCTCTGTTGTGTATGACATCGACATTTGTGAAGAATATGGGCCAGCAACTCTATAAAGTGCCTCAATGCAGACATTTCCTTTCCTCCTATATCTTTTGCTCTAAGTGCCAGTGGTCTGCCCAGTTCCTCAGGTAGGGAGCCAGGGCGCCATCATGGTCTCTCCCTCCCCCTGCAACCATCCACCCACCACCAGATCCTAGTGTTTACCCCCCATCTCCCATGCCCATAGCTTCCCCTGTGACTGTGCGCTCATCATTCCTCCCCAGCCAGCCAGCCTCAGCCACTACTGCTTCACACAGGCTGGCTTCCCAAAGTGTGGATGAAGACTGTGGCATCAGGAGCTTGTTAAAAAGGCAGAGTCTCTTGGCGCCTAGGTGGCTCAGTTGGAAAAGTAGGCCACTCTTGATCTCTGGGTCATGAGTTCAAGAAAATGCAGAATCTCAGGCCCCATCCCAGGTCTATGGAACCAGAATATGCATTTTATTTTTTTAAGATTTTATTTATTTATTCATGAGAGACGCAGAGAGAGTCAGAGACACAGGCAGAGGGAAAAGCAGGCTCCACGCAGGGACCCCGACGTGGGACTGACCCTGGGACTCCGGGATCATGCCCTGAGCCTAAGGCAGATGCTCAACCACTGAGCCACCCAGGCGTCCCAGAATATGCATTTTAATGAGTTCCCCAGGTGTTACTTCTGCTCCATTAAGTTGGAGGAGCCCTGCTCTCAGAGATCCCTGAAGCTTACAGACCCCTCAGCTCCATCCACATCCAAGGTCCTGGGTGTCCTCCTCTACCAACCTTGCCTTCCCAAACTTGTCCCCTACCTCATCTATATTCATGAATGTGTGCTGTTTCGCCCTCCTAGTCCTTTCCAAATGCCCTATCTCCTAACACTTCTGCGCATCAGGCTTAAATATACATCACCTCCTGGGTGGTATGCTTCCTTCTATCCCTCTTGAGCACTATTTGCTCCATACCTGTCTAAATCCTAGCTTCTCTTCCATGGAAGTATCACTCCCATGCGCTCCTGGTTTCAAAGTGACTATTTCTCTGGCTAGTTGGTGAGCCCCTTGAGGAAAGCCTGCCTGCTATATATACATCTCCTCATCCTCAGTGCCCAGCACAATTGAAATGTTTGTTGAATCAGTATGTGAAAGAAACAGCTCTTCTTCCATGGATGCCCTTCTTCCACGTAGATCTGAAGTGGGTATTGGGGCATCCAAATATCTAAGTCACAGAATGTTGGGACGGGTAGCCACAGTGGAACATCTACTTTAAATGCCCTTTGTGATCTACGAGGAAAGGCTTCAGGGAGGGACAAGTGACTTATTGCAGGTTCCTTGGCTGGAAGGGTGGGGCCTATGAGTCATCACTGACGCATGCTTTGCCCTTCCTGGAGCCAAGTGCCCTTATGCAGTTTGGTATGAGAAAGTAGTAAAAAGCAAAGTGAGGGTCGCCTGGGTAGCTCAGTCATTTGGGCATCCAGACTCTTGGTTTGAGCTCAGGTCGTGGGATTAAGCCCTGCATTGGGCTCAGGGCTCGGCACAGAGTTTGCTTGGGATTCTCTCTCTCCCCCTCTGACCCTCTCCATATCCATGTACTCTTCTTCAAATACATAAATAAAAACTTTTTTTAAAATATGATTTTATTTATTCACTCATGAGAGAGAGATAGAGAGAGGCAGAGACATAGGCAGAGGGAGGAGAAGCAGGCTCCATGCAAGGAGCCCCATGTGGGACTCAATCCCAGGACTCCGGGATCACGTCCTGAGCCGAAGGCAGACACTCAACCACTGAGACACCCAGGTGTCTTAAAAAAAACAAAGATGCAAAGAATGTGTACAAAATGGAAATATTTATGCAGCTTTAAAACATGAAAAGCAATTCTATATTTGCTTACTTAGGAAACAATCACAATGCCAGTGGTAGCAGTTACCTTGGGGAGGAATGGGTGAGACTGGACAGTTAACCATTAAGCTTGAATTCACAGACCCGAAGCTCAAGTTGCATGCTCTACCAACTAAGCCAGCCAGGTGCCCCCAAAATTAAAATTTTACCCAATTTTTTTTAGTGAGTTGTTTTCCCCAAGAGTCTCAAGTAACTAGCTCTCAACCAAATTTCCAATCAAGGCTCAGAGGGCAGGGTACATTTAGAAACAGAACTCTGCCTGTTATTGGAGCATATGATGAACATAGGGTAAGTTTGGGGTTCTATCATAGCACATGGGTTAGAGTTTAGGGTTTTTTTTATAGGCAACAAGGAGCCATTAAACTCTCCAGTATGAATGGGCGACCTAATTAGACATTTAGCAAGTTGACTGTGGCAACAATAGGCTAAGCCAAAAGACCAGCTGGATTTTGCAATAATCCAGAGGAGTGTTACCTGCTTGGAGCAAATTTAAAGAGCAAAGTCAGGGAGGAGTTAGGGAGAAGACTGGCTCTGAGTAGATGTTGTTGAAGCTTTGTAATGGGTAGAAAAGAGGTTCATTGGCTTATGTTTGGAGTTATCCATGATTTAAAAAAAAGCCAATTTCTTGTAGAAATCATATCTACTTACATGACAAGTGAATCAAATCCTAATTATAAGAATGAATACTTGGGACAAAGTTTTTTTTTTTTTTTTTTTTTTTAAGATTTTATTCATGAGAGACACAGAGAGGTAGAGAGACAGGAAGAGGGAGAAGCAGGCTCCTGGCAAAGACCCTGATGTGGGACTCGATCCCCGACCCAGGATCATGCGCCGAGCCAAAGGCAGATAGATGCTCAGCCATTGAGCCACCCAGGCATCCTGGGATAAAGTTTTCATACATGAACTAGAAAGGAACTGTCCTCTCAAGTAACTTGGGTAAAAAAGATAGGTTCAGGGCAGTCCGGGTGGCTTAGCGGTTTAGTGCCGCCTTTGGTCCAGGTCGTGATCCTGGAGACCGGGGATCAAGTCCCATGTCCGGCTCCCAGCATGGAGCCTGCTTCTCCCTCTGCCTGTCTCTGCCTCTCTCTCTGTGTCTCATGAATAAATAAATTTAATCTTAAAAATAAAGATAGGTTCAAGGAAACTAGTACATAGTTCAAATATTTTTTTCTTTATTTATTTATGATAGTCACACACAGAGAGAGAGAGAGAGGCAGAGACACAGGCAGAGGGAGAAGCAGGCTCCATACACCGGGAGCCCGACGTGGGACTCGATCCCAGGTCTCCAGGATCGTGCCCTGGGCCAAAGGCAGGCGCCAAACCACTGCGCCACCCAGGGATCCCCTAGTACATAGTTCAAAAACAAATGCTGAAGTCTTAAATTATTTTGAAAACTTGAGGGACACCTGGGTGGTTCAGCAGTTGAGCATCTGCCTTTGGCCCAGAGGGTGATCCTGGAGTCCCGGGATCGAGTCCCACATCGGGGTTCCCTACATGGAGCTGCTTCTCCCTCTGCCTATGTCTCTCCCTCTTTGTGACTCTCATGAATAAAATCTTAAAAAAAAAAAAAAAAAAAGAGGAAAAGCAGCATATCCAAAATAACATTTTATGGTTTTTTTTTTTTTTTTTAAGATTTTACTTATTTGACAGAGAGAGAGCATAAGCAGGGGGAGCAGCAGAGGGATAGGGAGAAGCAGGCGCCCCATGGAGCAGGGAGCCCAACATGGGACTCGATCCCATAACACCGGGATCGACCTGAGCAGAAGGTAGATGCTTAACTGACTGAGCCATCCAGGTGCCCCTGTGGTCTAATTAATCAAAACTTTTGAATCTTCTCACTAGGAAGATGGACTCTGGTCTCTTGGAAAGTGTTGTAATATGGGATGCATTAAGAGTACAGCCATCAGATTTTTTTTGCAATTGAAAATCATCTCTATATACACTCTGTGCACTCTCTCCAACATACAGTGTGACAAAAGTTGAGTGGAGGGAAGAGTGGGGATGCTTATATACCCGAGGTCTCCTTGGAAGAATTAAAAAAAATTCTGGGAGAGGAAATGGGATGTGAGTTGAGAGTGCTCCGCTCCCTTTAATAATCTGTGGACTTGTTCTCTCCTGTCTTCTTGACCTATAAACATGTAATACTGGAGATAAGAATTATAGGGGACTTCCTTTCTTTCCACACTGACAATTCCAAAATAGTTAAAATAATGTCTCTATTATAGATGCAAATAGAAGGGAATCAATGTCTCAATGAATCTTGACTTGAGGTGGGACCAAGGGTGAAATATTTTAGGTTTTGGCATTTGCTGCAGGTTTAGGAAGATCTGTGTGTGGGCTCATGACTTCCCAGCACCCGTCCTATTTCCTTCTGCAGCATCCTCTCCATCAGAGCACAACTGAAACTCCTATCTCCTTTAGGAGCCCGATGTGGGACTCAATCCCGGGACTCCAGGATCAGGCCCTGGGCCAAAGGCAAGCGCTAAACCGCTGAGCCACCCAGGGATCCCCAGGATCCTTTCCCTTTGAACTGTTGCTTCAATGCCAATGGTTTGGGTAAGCTTTGGATGGCCCTATTTCATCTTGTAAATCAATCTGAATCGCAAGTTTTTGGAGTCAGGGCAGCAAGTAGAAGTCATTCTGGCCACCCCCACAGCCATGCCACACAGGGGCCCTTTGGCCTCTTGAAATGTAACCTCCCCATACTGATCTTAGTTGAATATGATTCCTCCAAAGAAAACACAATTCTCTTCAAATCCACCAAGAACTAGGCAGAGAACATGGGTTCAGGACTTTTTATTTTCAGAGCCTGCAACAGTTGGTCGGCCATGCTGGGTAAGCTGGTCCAATCTGAAGGCCATCCCACCTCCCTTCCCAGGCATTCAACCAACAGAATCCCTACAAACAAGATTAGAGACCAACTGAGATGTGTCTCAATGTGTGGTGAGAGGAGGGGGAGAGGCCTTCCTTTCTTCCCGTTCCCCTCCTCCCCACTTACTTTTTCTAACAAGATTGTTTTATAGCCAAATACAACTCAAACCCATAACAGCAACAAGCCATCTCCAATACCACTGCTTCCCTCCCTACCCCCGAAAGGAGGAAGCAAAGTAAGCGGAGACTGGCTCTTGTGTTTAAGACAAAGCTGGCTACACCCCAATGGAGCAAAGATGGTGAAGAGGCTGGTGCCTATTGGTGGGGATAAGCAGAGACCAGGAGGCCTCCCTCTCCCTCAAATTCAAACATGATAAACCCAAAGTTTTACCTTCAAAATCCACCACGCTGCCTCCTGAGAAACACATTTAATACAGTCATCTGTATGCCAGCACCCACAGCCCTCTCCTAAAGCCCAGGGCTTCCAGCCCCTCTTTTCACCCTTGGGTGGCCCAGCCAACACTGATTTGATACTCCTTGACTCATAAAATGCCTATTTTTAGAAAATTAAAAGCTATTCAAGAGTATCAGAGTAATAGAAGACACTCGGTGTATGCTCCCCTCCCCCATCCCACAGAGCCCCCCCTGCCCTGGCCCCCACCTACTCTAGGACACCTACACTACCACATTTCAACACTGGCCTGGGGGTGGTCCAATGGAAGCTGTCTGAAGTGCTTTCCTGACTGTGACTCCTATACCAGCCAACGTCACAAGGAGCTGGGGTGAGGAAGAGCAGGGTCACTCCCCCACAGATCTCAGTGGCCTTCGAGGTAGGTCTGGGAGGTTTAGCTTATGTCCTGTAGCCAAGTCGGAGTCCTGTGCCTGCTCCTACCAGTACCTCAGTCCTTGGCTTTAAATAGCAGCAGCCCCAGTACCACAGTGCCCCCCTGGGGGTGACAGAGCTAGTTCTGTCCCTCAACACAAGTTTGCTTCTTCTCCCCCATTTTTTTTTTTTTTAAAGCAGAGGTAGTCCCTGGGATGATAAAACCCTACCCAGAATGGCAGTATTATGACTTAAAGAAGCAGTTAAATAAAAGTCTCCAGGAGTTAAAAAAAAAAAAAAGTTAAAGTGATTGATGAAGTTGAATAAATTAAAGATATGGGTTATCCCACAAAGACCATTCCCTTCCCAGGCTGTCTTTGGTATTTGGCCAGCAGCATCTCTGCTCGTGGACTTCTCCCCCCCCCCACCCCCCAGAGAACAGCACCCAGGAAGGCCCCAGGTGGTCTGTCCGACGGTGGTGGTGGTGAGAAGTCAGAACTTCTTGAAGTGGTACCCAGAACCGCACTGTGGCAGGCAACAGCCCTGGCAGACAGTCCCGAGGCAGAAGGTCTTACAGAGACAGAAGAGGCGTGGCCGGCAGGATGTTCCAGCCCCGCAAGTGCAGCAGTAGGGGTCAGGCGCACAAGCCCCGGGTCCTCTCTCCACATGTCACGCCCGTGGCTGGTCCCTTTGCTCAGGTTTCTCTGCAGCCAAGAGGGAAGGGGGGAGGCACAGAGGGCAGCTCAGGCTGCTGCTGTCTGGCATGGCCGCCCTCACAGCTTCTTCAGACGGCTGTACATCTCCCTTTTGCTCTTTTCCCCTGCCCAGGTCCGGCTCTTGGTGCGGAACTTCTTCAGGTCTTCTTTGAAGTCCTCATGGTGCATGGGCCGGTAGCTGGGAGGCTCGCAGTGAGACTGCAGACGACAGAGGACGAGATGAGGGGCCCATGCCTCACGCTCCTAAGCCGGCTCTCCCCCCATCTGGGCTTGCGAGGCTGGGATGCGCAGCAGGGCCTAGGGCCCTTCTTTGTGTGAGGCAAATCCCCAGACCCCGAACAAGAGACAGCCACGACAAGCACACGGATCTGCCCATCCAGCCTGGGTGAGGGGTGCACCGTGCTCTCCAGAGACCTCGCCTCACCTGGCATTTCAGGAAGAACTCCTTGTACCCGCCCTTCAGGACATACAGCTCCGGGTAGTGGAGTTTGGGATACTCGTTACCAAGCCGATCTCTCTCTCTCACGTACCGGCACCTAGCAGCGAGGAGGCAGGCCAGAGCAAGGTTAGCTCTCCTAACTTGGGGCAACCCGAACCAATGGCATGGTGAGCACAGCAGCGCCGAGTGAATACTCCTGACACACAACTTCTCACTTTCCCAGTCATTCTTAGAAACCAGCATTGAGCTGTGGGTCCCAGGCCACATGTGGTCTTTAGGAAGAGTTCATAGGGAGATGGTCTCTCCCAAGCTGTCCTTCCTCCAGGTTCAATGGCCCTACTGTCTGGCCCCTGCCCACAGTCCTCTATGCTACCACCCATACCTCATGTGGAGTGACGGCTCCCCATTGCAATCTCTGCTCACCACACCCTCCAGCTCCTCACCACTAGGGTCCCTCCCTCACTTCCTAACTAAGCCAGCTGCTTTCTTCCTGTGGCTTTTAAATAGGCAGAGCTTGGGATGCCTGGGTGGCTCAGTGGTTGAGTGTCTGCCTTTGGCTCAGGGCATGATCCCAAGGTCCTGGGATCAAGTCCCTCAGCGGGTTCCTAATAGGGAGCCTGCTTCTGCCTCTGCCTTTCTTTGTGTGTCTCTCATGAATAAATCAAAAATTTAAATAAATAAACAAACAAGCCAGCCAGTCTGCCAGCCAGCAGCCGAGCTTGCTCCTGCCTCAAGGCACCTACTTGTACCCCTGCATGGAATACTAAATACTCTCACTAATACCCTCACCTGGCAATGGCTTCTTACCTACCAACCCTTGGTACAAAAGCCAAAGTCCTTACAGTGGCCCCCAACTGGGTACCCTGCCCCTGCCTCCTCTCCCATCACCCTTTACTCCAGCCACTCTGGCCCCCTTGCTGCTCCTCCAAACTTCCTGGGAGCACCCACCTCTCATCTTATTTGTCTCTGAAATACCTTCTAACACAGAGTTGCTAACATATTATTTATTATATTTGTCTGCTCCTGCCAGTATGAAATGCAAGCTCCGTGAAGGCAGGGCTTTTTGTTCTCCTACATTTTGCTGTTCTCCACAGTAATCAGAACACTATTTCGCATGTGAGAGGCAACGGGAAGTACCTATAGAGTGAGTGAACGTTAGTCCTCACCTAAATCCTACCCCTTCATGTGATCACAGTTTTGTGCTTAATGCAGGACAAGTCCTTGTCCTCAGGAGGTTGGTGGGGAGACAAGTTCTTGTTGTAGTTGTGTGTGTAATTCTATGTGTGCTAATACAGCAAAACAGAGGCTGCTGATGAAGTCAGGTGAAGCACACGTGGGCAAATGGCCTTTTTCTTTTCTTAAAGAAAAAAAAGATTATATTTGAGGGACACCTGGGTAGCTCAGTGGTTGAGCATTTGCCTTCAGCTCAGGGCGTGATCCCGGAGTCCCCAGATTGAGTGCCACATTGGGCTTCCTGCAGGGAGCCTGCTTCTCTCTCTGCCTCTCTCTCTGTCTCTCATGAATAAATAAATAAAATTCAAAAAAATAAATACAAAGATTATGTTTGAGCAAGAGCATGTGCGAGCAGGGAGGAGGGGGCAGCCGAGGGAGGGAAATAATCTCAGGCAGACTCCCCGCTGAGCATGGAGCCCACATAGGGTTCCATCTCACAACTTTAGCATAGTCTGACATTTAACAGACTGAGCCACCCAGGCGCCCCCGTGTGGCCTGACTTTAGAACTGGTTCAAAATGAAAAGTCTGCACAAGGATCCAGGCCTAGGGGCCTATGAAAAGTCTACTTTGTCCTACCCCAATCAAGGCTGCATTCCACCCTGCCTCATCCCTCACCCCCCTCTCCAGCTGGCCCTCTGTACTCCCAGCACCTACCATACTAGCCAGAGACAGGGCTGGGCTGGAGAAGGCCTAAAGCCCTTGGCCACAGAAACTGATAGGTCAAGTCTATAAAAAGCCATACTCAAGGAAGCTGTTCATCAAATCGACTGCTTAATAGATAAGGATTTGGGCACACATCTGCTACACATGAATTTGAAATTTCACAAAAGTGAACATTTACAAGTCATGTGCGCAGGCTAAGGCATGGAAATGATTCAGGATGTGGGAGAGGGTGCTTGCTCGGTATGCTGAAGTACGCCCTGAGGGTGAGCCATCCATTCCCACATCCCACCAGTCACCGCAGGCCTGAGCCGCAGAGCCCAGTTTCATGCAGTACTCACATGCGAGGGCCTCGCTCAGAAGAGAACTCGCAGTGGAACACGACAATGACGCGCTTGCCATCAGTAGGTACAATGGGCTTCTTTAGTAAGAAGTCCTCAACCTCCTCTTCCATGTGCAAGTTCACTGCACCCTGTGAAGGCACCAGAGACTCTTGGAACCTGGGCATAACATACTTGCCAATGATTCTTCTGTGAGAGTCACCTGTAATTGGGCACCTCATATTCTGTTATGACTATGGCAGACAGGAGTGGTATTTATGAATTCGGAACTTTTGAAAGCTACTGAGACACTGGCAAATGCTAATGTTGTATTTAATGTACCCTTTTATTGTATTTCAACACTATTTTATTGGTTAAAAGAAGAAGTTGGCACAACCAATTACTTTTTTCCTGGGAAAGCATGACCCAATACCTGCCCTCCACCCTGCAGCTTAATTCAACTACAGACTTAGAGGCACCACTAAGTATAGCATAGATTAGGACATGTCACCAGACTGGCTTCTGGTCAGAAGCCTTGGGGTGCCCAGGCCTGGCTTAGAAATCAGTGGGCACCACCTAGAAATGCCCTTGATGGTGATGGTGTGAGGCAAAGGACAGGCAGCATTTGCTGTACAATGTGGTGAAGAGCAGTGTAGGGCAGGGAACGTTCTTCAGTGCACTAGGAATCAAATTGTCTTACCACCTCTCTCCCTTATTTTACGTTTTAATTTTATTTTATTTAAAGATTTTATTTATTTATTCGTGAGAGACACAGATAGAGAGAGCCAGAGACACAGGCAGAGAAAGAAGCAGGCTGCATGCAAGGAATCTGATCTGGGACTCAATCCTGGGACTCCAGGATTACACCCTGGGCCGAAGGCAGATGCCCAAATGCTGAGCCACCCAGGTGTCCCTTATTTTCATTTTTTTTTAAATTTTTTTTAAATTATTTATTTATGATAGTCATACAGAGAGAGAGAGAGGCAGAGACAAGGCAGAGACATAGGCAGAGGGAGAAGCAGGCTCCATGCACCGGGAGCCCGACGTGGGATTCGATCCCGGGTCTCCAGGATCGCGCCCTGGGCCAAAGGCAGGCGCCAAACAGCTGGGCCACCCAGGGATACCTTATTTTCATGTTTTAAAATAGGCTTCACACCCAGTGTAGAGCTCAGTGCAGGGCTTGAACTCACAACCCTGAGATCAAGACCTGAACTGAGATCAAGAGTTGGACGCTTAACCATCTAAGTCACCCAGGCACCCTGACCATCCCACACCCTTTTAAAAATCACAGATTCTGGGACGCCTGGTCCCGGGATCGAGTCCCACATTGGGCTCCCTGCATGGATAAATAAGTAAAATCTTAAAAAATAATAAATAAAAGAACCCATACCTTGATGTGGCCTCCCTCATATTCATATGGGTACCGGCAGTCAATGATAACAAATTCTTTAATGAGGTTGGCAAACTTGCCGTTTAAAACAGATGCCATCTGTGGAGTCAAAACCCAGGAGAATCAACTTTGGTTGTCAGGAACAACTAGATCCAAATACCTCATGGATAACAGGATCCAAAAAGAGGACTTACAATTTCTGGAGAGATGTATTTTAAATCCTGATGCTTCCCAGCAACTGTATGAAAGAGATAACCCTTAAAAAAAAAATTTTTTTTTTTAAGCAAATCTCAAGGCTGATAAATATAACAATTAAAAGCACACCAGCAATTACTCATTAAGGCAACTGGCTGAATCAAGAGCTCACCCATCCCCATGGCCATTGGCAAGGTCATTATGACAAATATAACCAACAGTTTCAAGTGGAAGTTTCCACCAATGGAGACACACCCAGTCTTTGCTCCTTGTTCCATTCAGATGGAGTTGTTGCCTATTTTTAACCCCCTTATGTGTCCCTATTTCTTCAAAACTCACCTGGCTGAAATATGAAATATGGCCCAGACCCATACCTTCCACAATCTTCTAGGTGAGACAACTCCCTTTTATTTCTTCCAGGCTGCTCACACTGCCCTCAATAAACTTCCATCTACTGTGTGGTCGACAGCATGACAGGTCTTACTGACCACAGGATAAGTTGTTTGAGAGAAGCAACTGGGACTTAATTTTGGAATCTTTGCTTAACGTATAATAGTAAGTGTTTCAACAAATGTTAGCTAAACCAATGATGCTCTGGTAGCCTTCACATGCATCCTATGTGTCTAAACAAGCTACTACTGATACATTCCCTGTCCCACCCTCATATTTCACCACAGTCCAAAGACAGCTAACTCTTCCACTCAGCAAATCCATACATATCAGGCCATCAGCAGATTCCCTCTGCACTCCCCTGAGGGCCTTCTCCTTCAAAGGCTATATTTCTCTGGACAACAGAGAAATTAAATTCATCAACCTTGGATATTCTAAGATAACCTTTGGATATACCATTGTGTAGTAAGGCTACAGGTTTATTCTTATTTCTTTGTACTTTACTGCATTACTATTTTTATAATCAGAAACACAGTTCCCAAAGAGCCTGCCCTTGGTGTTGGAGTCAAGGTGGCTGGCTTCCTACTTCCTCTGATTAGTACCAGTAAGGTCTATAGTCCCACAGAGACCAAGATACAGCTGATCATGAGTCTGTTTCCTTATCTTCAAAAACTTTAAATTGTGTCCCCTTAAGGGCATTGCCAAGAGCCACCGAGTGAGGGAGAAAGGCAGGGGAGCCTTCTAGGAAGCACCTAGAGCCCAAATCACCTAGTCAGAGCAGCTCTCCTTGCATCTACTTAGAATTACCTTGGAGAAGTCTCCTATAAGATCCCTTGGGTCATTATCCAAAATGTTCTCAATGGTCCCTTTCGGGGAAGATATCAGGGATAAAGACTGATGTAGAATCTGTAACAAATCAGAGGTAGAAAATGAGGCCAGGGTTTTGAATAGGACTTTTGAAAACATTCACCCAGAACATGTCACCAGGAGGAGAATGACAGGGCAGCCCGGGTGGCTCAGTGGTTTAGCGCCTGTTTTCAGCCCAGGGCCTGATCCTGGAGACCCGGGATGGAGTCCCGCATCAGGCTTCCTGCATGGAGCCTGCTTCTCCCTCTGCCCATGTCTCTGCCTCTCTCATGAATAAATAAAATCTTAAAAAAAAAAAAAAGGAGAGTGACGTGACATGTAAATGTCTATATTTAGCAAATAAAACATTTTCCTTATTTGATTGAAAAAGAGAATATGGGTCACTGGCTAGGTCTACTATTATTTTAGCGTCTAACTGAAATGTTCTGAAACTAAGTTTTCCTTCTTTTCTACCTTTTTTTAGAAGGGAAATTAAGGGGCACCTGAGTTGGCTCAATCAACTGGGAATCTGATTCTGGGGTCCTGAGATTGAGCCCTGCGTTGGCTTTCCTGCTCAGTGGGGAGCTTCTTCTTCCTCTCCCTTGCCAATGTATGTTTTCACTCACTCTGCTCTCTCTCGCAAATAATTTTTTTTTTTTTAAAGAGGGGGAATTAAAATTAAGGCTGAGTCTAAAATAAGTATTTTTTTGCTCTATCCACTGAGGTACAATAAGCATTCCTAAAGGATACCATGGTCTCTAAATACTATTTTCCACTAAAAGGCTTGGCACAGGTTTCTCAGCAGTTAAGTGCCTGCCTTTGGCTCAGGGAGTGATCCTGGATTTCTGGGATCGAGTCCCACATGGGGCTCCCCACAGGGAATCTGCTTCTCCCTCTGTCTGTGTCTCTGTCTCTCTCTTGAATATATAAATGAAATCTTAAGGGATCCCTGGGTGGCGCAGCGGTTTGGCACCTGCCTTTGGCCCAGGGCGCGATCCTGGAGACCCGGGATCGAATCCCACGTCGGGCTCCCGGTGCATGGAGCCTGCTTCTCCCTCTGCCTGTGTCTCTGCCTCTCTCTCTCTCTCTCTCTGTGTGTGACTATCATAAATAAATTTGTGATGTGGGACTTGATCCCAGGACTCCAGGATCACACCCTGAGCCACCCGGGTGTCCTTCGATCTCCACATTGCGTGTAGATGACTTAAAAATAAAATCTTTAGGGATCCCTGGGTGGCGCAGCGGTTTGGCGCCTGCCTTTGGCTCAGGGCGCGATCCTGGAGACCCAGGATCGAATCCCATATCGGGCTCCCGGTGCATGGAGCCTGCTTCTCCCTCTGCTTGTGTCTCTGTCTCTCTCTCTCTCTGTGTGTGTGTGAATATCATAAATAAATAAATTAATTAAAAAAATAAATAAATAAAATCTTTAAAAAAAAAAAAAGAAAGAAAAAGAAAGAAAGGAACAAACAAACAAATAAACCAGGGTTTTTGAAGTGACTGACTCCAGGTTGGGATAAGAAATGTACAATATAAACCTGGAATGTCTTATGATAATAGCAAGGAAGCTATTAGACTAGTAGAGTGATGTCAAAAGGGTTAGTCATGGGGAGGTAAGGATTTCTTTTAAGTAACACAAAAAGCACTAAACATAAATAAGACTGATTAATTGAAATACATTTAACAATTCCAGAAATTCTGCTCATCAAAAGAACAGTATTAAGAGACAAGGCAAGCCAGAGTGAGAAGATAAACAATCTTTAAAAGAATCCTCTCGGGATCCCTGGGTGGCGCAGCAGTTTGGCGCCTGCCTTTGGCTCAGGGCACAATCCTGGAGACCCGGGATCGAATCCCATATCGGACTCCTGGTGCATGGAGCCTGCTTCTCCCTCTGCATAAAATAATCCTCTCTGGGGCAGCCCCGGTGGCGCAGCGGTTTAGCGCCGCCTGCAGCCCAGGGTGTGATCATGAAGACTTGGGATCGAGTCCCAGGTTGGGCTCCTTGCATGGAGCCTGCTTCTCCCTCTGCCTGTGTCTCTCTGTATGTCTCATGAATAAATAAATAAAATCTTAAAAAATAAAATAAAATAATCCTCTCTGAATGTATACAGTACTTCCACAAATAAGAGATAACCCAATAGAAAAATGGGCATTCACTTGGACTAGCAATACAGAGAGGGAAAATCCAGGACCAAAAAAAAATGACTATCAGGGATATAAAAACTAAAACCGCAGACACTGTACACTCACCAGAATGGACACATACAACAGATGATTCTCACAAAAGTAATGCTGAACAAGAGAATCCAGACATAAAAGAAATACATACAGTAGGACTTCAAGTTTATAAGATTTGAATACAGGCAAAGCTCAGCTATAGCAACAGAGTTCAGATCAGTGTCACTGAGGGAGAGAGCACAAGAGGGGCTCCAGGCTGCTGCTAATGTTCTTTCTTGGTCATGGTTGGCATTTATGGAGATATGTTTATTTTAAAGAGAGGGAGCATACATTTTGCCTTTCCCACAGGTGACCAAAGAGTTTGATGCACGGAAATTTCTCTTTGAGGAACATTCTGCCAATAAATGAAGAAAGAATGACAGAACTTTCTAAAAAAAATTATTAAAAAAAAAATGACAGAACTACAGGATCACTTTTTTGAAACCTTGGTTAAATGAAATCTAGGCAATCATCATCAATGACTTCCCAGCAATGTGTCTCCTGATCAAAGTAAACAAAATCACCCATGAGATATTCATGCCAAAGAAATGGAATCTCAATCTCATCAAGTCTTCCTAGTGTTTAGAGGCTTAATGGGCAATATAAAGGAGAGAAGACAATATTAGAAGATCCCAAAGGACTGTGGGAACTTCTACAAGGCAAATGGCCTGAGTTCTTCAATCACTAAATTTCAAGAAGGAAACAAAAAGATGGGAGCACAGGAGCCCAAATAATAAGAGACCTAGTGACCAATTGCAATGCACAGACGTTATTTCAACCCAAATTTGAAATGCATTTAGGAGACCATTAGAAATGATACTGGGGCACCTGGGTGGCTTGGTCAGTTAGGTGTCTGACTTGATTTCAGCTCAAGTCATGATCTCAGAGCTGTGAGGTAAAACTGTGTCAGGCCTACTTAAGATTCTCTCTGTCCCTCCCACTGCCTCTCCTTCCATAAATGAATGAATGTGAATATATAAATGGGGGAGGGGGTAAATATAGTAAATGTACATAGGTTTTTGCCCTAGCAACCCCATTTATTCCCCCCAAAATAAGCATGCAAGGACAGTGAATATTGTAATTGTTTATAGCATTTGAAAACTAGAAACAGGGAGGGACGCCTGGGTGGCTCAGCGGTTGAACGTCTGCCTTTGGCTCAGGGTGTGGTCCCAGGATCGAGTCCCACATTGGGCTTCCTGCATGAAGCCTACTTCTTCCTCTGCCTGTGTCTCTGCCTCTCTCTCTTGCTCTCTCATGAATAAATAAATAAAATCTTAAAAAAAAAAAAAAAAAAAAAACTAGGAACAATCTAAATTTTAATCAACAGGATCATAACAAGGATAACAAGATCATAACAACAGGAACATAACAAGGATCCTCATGCAGCTATTTAAAAATTACAAGTCTGTTCCCCCAAGCCAAAGCACTGGGAAAAAGGCAGCCTATCCAGACAGAAAAGTTTTAGGTAATACCACCACTGTAGCAAAACACCAAGGGAAAAAAGATGGCCCTACAACACGCCTGGTCAGCAAGTGGGGAGCTTAGACTTCCAACCCTCGCCCAGCTATAATTAAGTGCTTAGTCTCCATTCCACTGGGATGGTGTCAGCAGAGGCCTAGTGCAGACCTTGAACTCTCACTCCTACCCAGCAATAATGACCCCACCCATTGTGTCAAGGGAGGCTGTGCTGGGGAATGCTTACCATCCCTGCAGTATCAGAGGCCTAAAACAGAAAATTTACATAGCCCAGAGTCTTACAACACCCAACACACAGGATACAATTGAAAAATCACTTGTCATACCAAGAACCAGGAAAATCTGGGGATCCCTGGGTGGCGCAGTGGTTTGGCGCCTGCCTTTGGCCCAGGGCACGATCCTGGAGACCCGGGATCGAATCCCACGTCGGGCTCCCAGTGCGTGGAGCCTGCTTCTCCCTCTGCCTATGTCTCTCTCTCTCTCTGTATGACTATCATGAATAAATAAAAATTAAAAAAAAAAAAAAAAAAAAAAAAAAGAACCAGGAAAATCTCAACCTGAATAGGAAAAGACAATCAATAGAGGCCAACACCACAACACAGATGTTGGAATTATCTGATAAGGGTTTTAAAGCAGCCATCATAAAAATGCTTCAATAGCCAATTACGAATATGTTTGAAACAAATGAAAAACAGTAAATCTTAGCAAAGAACAAAATGGAAATTTCAGAATTGAAAAAACACAGTATCATTCTTCTTGAGCACAAAGGTACCTGCAAAACTAACCTCTTGGGGTTTCTCTGGACTTGCTACCTCTTCGGGACTGGCCCCAGCCATGCTCTTTCTCCGCTTCGTATTTCCGGGTAGGTACTCCTCCTGAGATCGGTCTGGTCTTTTTAACACTGACCGGGCGATGGAGCTACATGTGGAAGAAGAGTCAAACAGCTTGCATCGATTGTCCTAAGAGGGGGGAAAAAAAGAGACCCATCTTCCATTAAAGCCTGCTATCTTGAGGGGTGCCCAGGTGGCTCAGTCAGTTAGGCAGCTGACTCTTGATCTCTGCTCAGGTCATAGTGTCAGGGTCCTGGGATCAAACTCTACATAGGCTCTGCACTCAGTGGGGAGGCTGCTTCAGGATTCTCTCTCCCTCTGTCCTTCCCCCTGGTTGTTTGAGCTCTCTCTAAATCAATCAATCAATCTTAAAACAACAAATAAAAAACAAAAAGGGCAGCCCCGGTGGCTGCAGCGGTTTGGAGCCACCTGCAGCTTGGGGTGTGATCCTGGAGACCCGGGATCAAAACACACACACAAAAAAAATTGACAGGTATTTCCCAAGCTTCCTTACTCTATACATAATTTATGTCTTTCAAGAGACCTAGTAAGTTTAGTCAAAGCATTTGTACTGAGATAATCTATTTCCTCATGACTATGCACATTAATACTATAATTTGTTAAGTGGTCTCAGGAGGATAGTTCACAGGCAGTGATAGTTTAAAAATATAAGTAGGGATCCCTGGGTGGCACAGTGGTTTAGCGCCTGCCTTTGGCCCAGGGAGCGATCCTGGAGACCCGGGATCAAATCCCACGTCGGGCTCCTGGTGCATGGAGCCTGCTTCTCCCTCTGCCAGTGTCTCTGCCTCTCTCTTTCTCACTGTGTGCCTATCATAAATAAATAAAAATTTTAAAAAATTTACAAAAATAAAAAATAAAAATAAAATTGGCTCAGGTCATGATCACGGAGATCACGGAGCACGGGATCAAGTGCTGCATCAGGCTCCCTGCTCAGTGGGGAGCCTGCTTCTCCCTCTCCCCGCCTGGTTGTGCTCTCTCTAGCTAGCTCTTGTTTCTCCCAAATAAATAAATAAATAAATAAAATCTAAAATATATATATATACATATAATAATAAAATTAATAAATAAAATCTAAAAAAAGAGATTATCAATTTCTATGTATACCTAAGGATATGGGGCACTGAATTTGTACTGTGACAGTATCTAATGTTTTCCAGGCATTTGCACAATGTGAGGCTGTATACCTCGCTTCCAGCTTTGTATGAAAATATCTCCGATGGAAACAGAAGTCTATAGGCTATATACTGATATAAAATCTCTGAGTTACTGTTCGGCAAGTGTGGTGCTAGATGATGAGATACAAACACAGGAGAATGTTTAAAAAAAAAAGAAAAGGCAAATAGTCTTCAGACTAAAGGCTTCATATTTGAAGTCTTATTCCAACTACCCTAGATGTTAGAGCTAGAAACAAATGCGGTCCTTCCCCTAATCAACACTCCTTACAAAACAAAAAACAAAACACTCCCTACTTTACAAATTGGGAAACACGTAGACAGATAAAGTGTATCACTAATGGTCCCCATTTGTAGGTAGCTCAAGTGGGGTCTAAAACCCAGATCCCTAAGTCTTGTCATTCCATTTGACCTTTGATTGTATTCACTTAAGGCGGCATAATTGAGGGCACACCTCTACCATCACAAATGCTTTGGTGAAGGCAGGAGACAGCAGGCTCTCTATCTACTAAATGCACACAAAGACACCCAACAAAATTAAGGACATATTTTAAGAGTGCCTCTCACACTGACAACTTTGGTGTCACTCTCATGACTTCTCCTTTACCACTATTAACCTAAATACCACCCATTCCTAATTTAGGATTCCTTCAATCTATTCCCTCCTCTCCCCATAATTCAGAAAAAGTCTTTAGCACTTTGCCAAATAGTCATAATCAGCTCCTGAGTGGCCTGTTTGTAACTGACTCCTCCTCCTTTCCAGTTAATAGTCACACTCACTGAATCTTTGTGTCCCCGGGGAAATCCATCCAAACATTTTAGACTGGCAGACAAGTGACATCTGTCACAACCTTGCCCCTGCCCACCGCACATCCCATTCGCAGCTTCACAGGGCTACATGCTATGTCCTGAGATGAACTGTTCTTTCATAAAATATATCCTGCTCCTCAACAAGTCCCCACATATCCTGAGACCTTGGGTAAACATGCCCTCTCTGAGGGATCGCCCCCCAACTTCAGCATATGGCTCTTTCCAGGATGATGGACATTACTGCCCTTAAAGTGTCCACAAGGCCCATCCATTCAATGGGATACACATGGCCCCATGCATGCATTTAACAAGGCCACACAGGGATCCCTGGGTGGCACAGCGGTTTAGCGCCTGCCTTTGGCCCAGGGCACAATCCTGGAGACCCGGGATTGAATCCCACATCGGGCTCCTGGTGCATGGAGCCTGCTTCTCCCTCTGCCTATGTCTCTGTCTCTCTCTATCTGTGTGACTATCATAAATAAATAAAAATTAAACAAACAAACAAACAAAAAAACAAGGCCACACATCCAGGGTAAGCTGCTGTCTGTTTCACCCTCTGGTGCTCCATAACTCCAGTACTACCCTGAGACCAAGACGTGGAAAAACAACCTACTCCTTGCTGTCTTACTGCTTGAAGTGTGAAGTTTTAATATGGGATCTGAATTAAACAAAGATGTAACTCAGACTGACAGTGGGACAAACCCTATCAACCTGGCTAGAGAAAGAAAAGTCTCTATGTGAAAGCACAGACTAAAAGTTCATCTACTGACCCCTCAAACTCCTGGAGGAAGCAAATATTAACGGCCACAGCAAGCACCCTGCCCCTTTTCAAACTCAGACTACCTCTTAGAGCAGGTCAACCTGTGGGAGCCTGAGGGGGTGCTCTGCTCCAAAGGCGTGAGGTGGAACTTCACTAGCCACTTTCAGACTCTTTTCCAATGAAGTAGTCATCCGGGGATATGCTTATATCCATAATAGTTGTAACCAAATGCCTGGGTGAGTCAAAGGCAATTCTAACTTAAACTAGGCAAGAGAAACACAAGTATCTGTCCTAAATACGTGCTGTGAGTGAGTCTATACAGGAGAAATGGAAAAACATAAAAATTATCTAAAATTTCAATTATCTACAAGTAATACTCTCAGGAGCTTTAAGCTCCGAAATAATCCTAAACTCCATATGGAAGATACCTGAAATAAAACAGAACCTTTGAGCAGGAAACAGAGATAAAATGGTGTTCCAAATGTTTGGCAGACTTTGTGCAAATGTTGAAAGGCAAGGACAAAACAACCAAACAAGCCTAGGAAAGAGGAGAGCCAGAGACCCAGGGAGAGAAGACAGCCAGCTCCCCATCTTGCAAACAGGAGCTCTAAAGAACTCAGAGTGCCCACGCAGGTGTGTTCCTCAATAGCTCCTGAGAGGGATGCTGTGTTCTGAGGCCAAGCAAGGCCCCATCCTGCGAACTCAAGCCAATCCCCAGACTAACCCATACCTCCACCTACAGCTTAGAACGCAAAGGTGTCATCAATCACTGCCACTTGTGAGGAATTCAATTTAGCAGATATTTTCCTAAGATCTTAAACTACAAAGTAAGAAAGAGTTGTATCGATAGGACATTAATACACACACACAATATTAACTTGACCAAGAATGGCTGGGATAAACTAGAAATTATCAAAACAAGAACTATGTGTATATATATTAGCCAGACTTCCTCACATACCAATGAAGATAAAAGAAAACCTGAAGAGCCAGCGTGTTTTACAACACCAGAGAACACTAGTGACCAATCAAGTCAAAGGGAAACTCATAAGCCCAAAGACAGAATCTCAGATGAAACCCTGTGGTGATATGGACAGAAGGATTAGTTTTCCATTTAGTCTAGTCCACTCTGTCCCAGAGGCCTAATTACTCAAGGCTCCCTCCAGACACACCAGGACAACTTACAAGGTTTGTGGTTCTTCTCATGACAAGGGGAGCTGTCCAGAGGCTTGCCATGCATGACGGGGTCTCTTCATCATTCTAAAAGAGAAAAGCTATTATAAAGAAAGATTCAGCAGTGGGACACCTGGGTGGCTCAGCAGTTGAGCTTCTTGCCTTTGGCTCAGGGCATGATCCTGGAGTCCAGGGATGGAGCCTGCTTCTCCCTCTGAGAAGTATCAGACAGGCCTGGATATGAAACCTCTAATGTTCACTCCTCCTTCCCACTCCCCAGTATGTTAAGGTCAGAAGAGCATCACATTTCACAATTCAGACATCTGAATGTAGCTACAAGCATCCCTTCCACCCTGAGGGTACACGAGGAGGTAGCCTTTGGCCCTCCTGTGTTACGCCAGCTCATCCTACGTTTCTCTAGTTCCAGGTCTCTTGCACAGAATAGACTGTCAACTCCATCAGGGTAAGAAGGATCCTCTCAGGTCTTCTTTTGAAGAACCACCCCCACTCCCACCCCGAACTGGGAGCAGAGTCTCAATAAATTCTCACCAAATGAACAAAAATACTAGTCATCCCAAAGCCCTGGGGAATTATTGTTCTTTCTCACATGACTTCTCCAGGGTACTTAGTGGAATGAGTAAGAACATACATACACAACACACACACACACACACACACACACACACACACACAGCACCTTTAGATTCTCTCCATCAAGAAGGTCCATGAAGCCATCATCCTCATCAGACAAAGTGGCCGTCACAGGGGACTGGGGCATAAAAGGAGGAAGGAAATTCCCTGGCTCGCTGCCATCTCTTTCATTGGAGGAAAGCTGGAAGATAGAATTCACAGCTTGTTAATAATTGATCAGATTGGATTTCCTTGGATGGGTCACTAGATTTTATGAGGAAAACATACTGCATTTATTAGAAGTAAAATTTTACTCAAAGAAAATGCAGCCTAAGGTGTTAAAGGATTTGATGTCTATACATGGTCCTGAGTAAAATCAGGCCTGGAAGCCTTCACAAAAACCTCTTCTCAGAAGCAATTCACCTTACAGTGGGATCGGAGAGCCTTTGATGAAGAGCAAAGTTTGCTGTATCAGAGGACTATAATTGGTGAACAGTGATCAACATGCAGGTTGTGATACAGTATGAAAATCAGCTGCAATAGGGAAGGGTGAGAGGATAATCTCTGCTCACAGAGCGTCCTGGAGAACGCTTATGTAACTTTAGCTCCTACGGAAGTAAAGGATGGCCTCATTCTAGAGAGTCTATCCTGGTCCATTAGACTTGGAATTTAAATGACAGGTGCGGGCAGCCCTGGTGGCGCAGGGATTTGGCGCCGCCTGCAGCCCAGGGCATGATCCTGGAGACCCGGGATCCAGTCCCACGTCGGGCTCCCTGCATGGAGCCTGCTTCTCCCTCTGCCTGTGTCTCTGCCTCTCTCTCTCTCTCTGTGTGTATGTGTGTGTCGCTCATGAATAAATAAATAAAATCTTTATAAATGAATGAATGAATGACAGGTGCTCAGTTTTTTAACTGAGGAATTACTGTGTGCTGGCCACTATGATATCATCTTAAGTGCTTAGTCCCAGGGGTACCTGGGTGGCTCAGTGGTTGAGCATCTGCCTTTGGCTCAGGTCATGATCCCAGGGTCCTGGGATTGAGTCTTGCAGCAGACTCCCTGTGGGGAGACTGGTTCTCCCTCTGCCTATGTCTCTGCTTCTTTGTCTCTCGTGAATAAATAAATAAAATCTTAAAAGCCTCTCTCCCCACTACATTTTCTCCTAGAACCATTTCTGGAATAAAAATAGGGGAATCTCAAAAAGCAACCCTATGTTGTTTTGGGGGAAGCCCCATCATAAAACTAATATATATTTAATATAGGAAATTTAGAAAGATGGCTCATAAGTCTACCATCTAGACTTAAAACATTATTAATACAAACATTGCTGATAGTCCATTACATCTTTTCCAGGTGCTTCCCAAAACCAGGAAAAATGATCAATTATCTTTTTCCACAGTAAGGAAGCAGTCTCAACCTAAGTCCTACAGAGAACCCTTCAGACCCAAATCCCTTTGTGACAGGATGGCATTAATCCTCAAGTTGCCCTCTGGTTTTTGGAGTCAGTTGCCCACCTAGTGAGAAATCTGCTCTGCAGCTGGCCTACTCTGGTTCAGGTACCAGCTTGTTTCACTCACGGAAGCTCTAGGCTTCCTTTGATTCTCCACAAATGTTCCTGAGCGCACTCTGGGGATGGTGGCAAGTTTTAAACCAGCAAACCAAAAAAAAAAACAAAACAAAACAAAACAAAACAAAACAAAACAAAAAACAGCAAACCAAGGGGCAGGTGACTTTATTGTGGGACAACAATATCCTCTGAAGGCTCACACTGTAATACTATTATTTGTGACCGAGGTTCTGGTATCCCTAGTGCACATGTGATACAGCAAATGATGGACAAGTCACCTATAATTAGAGATGGCCAGGTGACCACAATAAAACCCAATGCAGCAGTCTTCAAGAGGCACACTAAAGATATTTAGTTTTGGATACCCAGTGCTTAAAGAATTACTGTGTACTTAGGAATCTGGAGATTTTGTTAAATCCTAGTATTCTACCTACGTGTGTCCTTTTGGCAAATCAGCCCAACCTCCCTGACCAGACGTCCCCAATCTGTAAAATGGGTTAACACCAGCTACTTCACAGGCCTATGAAGATTAAAGACAGGAACATATATAAAAGTGCCTTATGCAAATGCTAGACAGAGCCATGATACTGGGTGAAAGTGAACCTCAGTCCACAAGCCAAACTGTGTATTTTCACATGCAAGTCCCCAGGAAAACCTGGAAACCAAATGTGGCCGTTTCGTTCAAGTTGGGCCTCACTAGCCTTCGCTAGCAGATCACCAGGAGGCAGCTTTGGAAATGGTGATGCCTCTTTTTGGCAAAAAATAACCCTGGGGTAGGTGGCCCCAAATACTGTCAAGTAGCCCAGAGGTAAGGATTCACTAGAATCCTTAACAGTTCTTAATAAGCCACTTTTGGAAGAAGTCAAGTACTGTCCCCGAACACCACCATGTTGGGAACCTCTTAGCACTCAGGAGGCGCTATGAAAGAGCAAGGTTCGAGACATATAATTCCACTGTACACACATTTAGAAGAAAGACTCAGGATGCCTGCAGATTATTTCCCCAGGATTGACAAAGTCAAATATTCCTTGCTCAAGTTCCATATTGCAAACATACCATCTCTCACTCTGCTTCTGTCTGCTTTCCAGGCACATCAAAACCACCAAAACATGTGACAGTCTAATTTCAAAAGTCAAGGAAAAGACAAGAGCTACTAGAGTGTCTTTGACTCCAGGTGAAAGTGAGTGCTTTAATTCTGTTCCCACCAGGAACTTCCCCGTGAAAGCCAGAGCACATACCATCCGAGCTGGGGCAGAGTTCTGCCTCTGCGTGAAGAGATCTTTACTCTCCTCAAGTCCATGAGAGTGCAGGCAGCCACGAGATGCTGGTCTTACTGGCTTCTTAAACTCAAAGGCTTCCTGCAAGATAGCAGTCAAGACATCTTCCACTGTCCATGAAAACCAGGGCCCTAACTGTAGCTTGGGTGAGAGTCAAGGGAGCAGGCGCTGCTCACCTTTGTAACTGCCTCCAAACTAAGGGTTTACCCGTTTCTGAGCTTCACTCAAACATTGGATCGGTGTCTACGATTTTCACACATCCTGTTGACAGTTAACTCCTAAGGCAGCATGTTTTTCTCTCACCGCAAAGACTATTTCCTGACAAAAACATAATTATCTTCCAAGTACACAAAGCAACAACTTCCTCAAATCCAAAGCAAGGTGCTTCAATATTATTGCCTGTGAATGGGAGTCACAACTTTTCACTCTCAATTTGTTTCAAGATTTTATATTTTCCACCTTCTTCCTAACCAACAGGAGGTAATTATTTTCCACTTATAGTGATTGTACTCCATACTAGAAGCAATGGGAAATTTAAAAAACTATTGTTTTACTCAACAACATGAATGAATCAATCTCACATGTTGAGTGAAAGCCAGAAGTGACAGAAGACATTCTGTAATTCTGTACGATTGCATTTACTTTGAGTTTACTTTTTATTTATTTTTTTAAAAAAAGATTTTATTTATTTATTCATGAGAGACGAGAGAGAGGAGAGAGAGAGAGAGAGAGAGAGAGAGAGAGAGAGAGAGAGAGGCAGAGACACAGGCAGAGGGAGAAGCAGGCTCCATGCAGGGAGCCCGACATGGGACTCGATCCCAGGGCCTCCAGGATTACACCCCAGGCGGAAGGCGGCACTAAACCACTGAGCCACCCAGGGTGCCCCTTACTTTGAGTTTAAAAGCACTTATAATCTCCCTACCCAAGATAGCCACTTCACTTGTAAGTGCTCAGAGTGGTCACAGGCTTATCTCAGAGTATCTGCATGCCGACACAGCGTAAGTACTTCCTGTGCATTAACTCATATAACCATCAACTACAACCTGATCATCCCCATTTTACAGATGAGGAAATGACGCCTTGCAGGTTAAGTGAGGTGCCTAAGATCACAAGAGCTCTTTAACTACCACCTATGCTGTTCCCCTCTCCGGAACAAAGTTCCAAGCAGGCAACCCTGGGAAGAGCCAAGGGCAGGGGAAAAACCAGGCAGCAGTACAGCTTCAGTGTGTTCGGTAGAAAGCACTATATACACAGAGGCTGAGGCAGTGCTCTAAGCACTCAAGGCAGGAACTCACTTTCATATTCTCCCTCTGAACACCTCACAAGTTGCTAAAGGAATCACTGGGAGAATTTATGGAGGCAGTAGGTTGTACACAAAGTCGGAAGATGATGATTATGAATTGTGGCATTTTAGCAGGCAATGGAATACAGGACGAAATCGACATAGGATATAGAGAGAATAAAGGCCAGAAAAAAGTTGAGCCAATTCACTGAACTGTTTTGGATGCCTACCCTGTGCAAGGCACCTGGCAGGTATGAGAGAAAAGTCAGGCCGGGGTGTTCTTTTGGATGGAGCATCACAAGCTCACCCTCTAAGCAACCAGTTCAGTTACTCTGCGATTCCCCGAGACCTGTTGGCCCTGTTCTTACAAATACTGCCAAGAAGCCTTTCCCTAAGCTTATAACTCACGCCAGGGTGAGCACAAACAAGCAGGGCCTCGAGCAGACCCTTCTGGATAAGGGCATTCATGGATATAATTACTCCTAAAGGTACCATCTGAGCAATGGTTCCCTGCCAGGAATCATTTTAAATGCTTCATATACATTATCTTATCTCATTCCATAATGCCCTACAAGTTACTGCTACTTGTATTTTACAAGCAAAGAAATGAAGCCTAAAAAGAGGTAATGGGTCAAAGTCACACAGCTAGTAAACAGGATTCAAATCTAGATTTCTCTGACTGCAAAGACCATGCATGACTTTGGTGACGCTCTAGTCTGCCAGAAAGCAGCCCAGCCATACTCCTCTGTAAGCCACTGACACTTGTGGCTTTACCTCCATTCTCTGTTAGTATATTGATGCCACTCACATTTTCCTTGTTCTCATCCTGGTCCATCAGCTGAAAAACATCATGGTCAAGAGAATCAGAATGGCTCCTTTTCAGGGCTGGGCTACATCCCAAGAGCTTCTGCTGTCAAAATGGAAAACAAAACAAAACAAAAAAGACATTGAAAAAAGGGTACAAAAAGCAATTCAATGAAACTCAGGTTCAAAAGAAAAACAAAAATGGCAGTGGTGGGAGGGTAGGGTTTAGCTCCTCATACACTGCAGGAGGGAACCAAGAAATGTGGCCAGGGTTCCACGCTGTCACAACATGGAACAGAAGATCCTGCTACATGGCTTTCCATCCAACCTCACAAGATCGGTCTATGGCCTTCTCAGCAGGGATTTAGGGTGCCAAGTCAATCCCCAGACATCATTTGCAAAAAAAAGAATGCTTCCTGTATCTAAAATGGTAGTCAGAACTGAAGGTGAGTTGCTTATGTGTTTTGAGTGCTACAAGACTAAAGAAAAGTAGTCTTTTGCTGTCCAAGTGAAAGTCTACCTACTATCAAGGTCACCCTGACAGCTAAGGAGATAGATAATACTAATTAACTCAAGATAAACAAGAGAATTAACTTACAGGCAGGAAACTTATTCTCCTCATGGGATTTTCAAGGCTGCAATGAGATCAGAAGATAAACAATGAGACTAAAACAAGAGAAATATTAGCAGATGCAGCGTCTAGCCTATAGTTTGGGGAGGGCACAAACATTCCCATTTTAGGCAAGATGCAAGTACAGGTTTCTGAGACTGTCCTGTTCTCACAAGCACCCCCAACATTACTGGGCTTCTGGGTAAAATGAGCAAGCCTGGTCTTCTTTTAAAATACACATTTCTCTTAAGGCTATGATGTCAGAGGATAAAGTAAAAGTTTGGGTGAGATTCCAACAAGAGAACACCAAAAATTACATCTAAAATAAAGGATGGGAAGTCTTAAAGACTACTAACACAAACTACTTTCTCAAAAGGCACCAGACTTATTTATAGGATCCAGAAGTTTTACTAGGGTCAGCTAAATCCAAGGCTCCTGTCCAGAACACAAAGAATTTCAATAAAAAATTAAGAAAAGTCTTTTCTAAGCACAAACTTTAAAAAAGCAGTGAATACATACTTTTCTTTACTGTCCAAGGGCCCAGGAGAATCTAGACAGAAGCCTGTGGAAATAAAAAAAAAAACTCAGGAAATAATACACAAAACACCACTTTGTCATTAAATAAACAAAAATACTATTAGTATTTTCTTTAAGCCATCAATCAACTCACACCTTGGACTTTTGCCAGAATTAAAGTGGTGTCTCTAATTGTCAAAAACTTCATATTTGCACAAGTCTCAACATTTTCATAGTATATCTTCTACCAATCCCCTTTACCTATTTGCAAATACCATCAAGGGAACAGGATGTGAGAATTAAACATAATCTTCTAATGAATGGTTGGTTATTCAAATAGAGATTACCCAGGTAACTTTCTGTGAGTTCTGACTATGGAAAGAATAGGTAACTGTTTTCTGGAATAGTTTTGACTTCAAATATTTTATCTTGTCAGATCATATGTGAAATTTGGGTTTTTCTTTTTTTTTAATTTGGGGGTTTTGAAAAATACATTTATCAGTCATGTGACAAACAAGCCAAGTATTCATGGCCTTTAACAAAATAACACCAAGTAAGGTGCTAATCTCACCAAGGGGAGCAAGGTGGAAGACACTGCTCTCAGTATGGCCCAGACCCACCAGTGTCTGCCTACTGCACACCTCTCCTCATGAGATCCACATAACTTTGCAGAAAGTCAAGTGTTAGCTCTGATATTCTCATTTGCCATGCTGCCACAAGAATCCTATCCCTAGTTCTTAGGAAGCTTCCATTTTAAGATCTTTGCTCTTGTAGTTCCCTAGCCTAAAGCATCTGTGCAAATATAAACCCTGCAGTAGCATGAAGTTGTGAATTAGAGTAAAATGCACGGGGCCCATCTCCTCCACGGCAGGCTCACTGAAACAATGTCACCACACTTTCAATAATTTGGCCCTGCATTTCAACCAATACACCTTTCTGGTCTTGGTGTTATGGTTCATTGTACCCACCTACTCATCCTCAAGATCAAGCACACTCTACCTCCATGCAGACACTTGATGCTGGTTTCCTCCATAAACTACCATAGGGCCTTACCTGGCCTATTTTAAGGGTATTGGTTACTGAATGCCATGACTCTGGTTTACTGTCTCAGGTAGTCACCAGACTAAGTTCCTAGGTGGGGCACATGTTCACAACACATTCCAAGTTTTGATCCTCACACAGTAAACACATAAGAAATGGTAGAGACTAAAGGAATACCTGAATCGGTTGACTCAGAAGAGCCCATTCTCTGCAGACTGCTGTTTCTCACCTCCAGTGCCTGTTCATATTCACTGAAAGCAAGAGAAAGAACTCTATGTATTTTTTTTTAAATGATAGTCACACACACACACACACAGAGAGAGAGAGAGAGAGAGAGAGAGAGAGGCAGAGACACAGGCAGAGGGAGAAGCAGGCTCCATGCACCGGGAGCCCGACGTGGGATTTGAAACCGGGGCCCCAGGATTGTGCCCTGGGCCAAAGGCAGGCGCCCAATCGCTGCGCCACCCAGGGATCCCTATGTATTTTTTTAAAAAGATTTTATTTATTTATTCATGAGAGACAGGGATAGAGAGGCAAAGACACAGGCAGAGGGAGAAGCAGGATCCCTGTGGGGAGGAGCCTGATGTGGATGGTTCCGAGGACCCCAGGATTACAACCTGAGCCAAAGGCAGAGCGCCTCAAGCACTGAGCCACCCAGCTGCCCCTCTTTCTATTTCCAAAACATAACTGCAAGGTTACACACAGGAGACAGGCCATGAGGTTAGGCCAAGTATCCAGGCTGCTCTCAATCATCTACTTCTGGGCCACATCACAGAACCCACTTTGCCACCCAAAACACTCCGCACTTGAATATAAAAGATGCAAAAGTGGTGGGAAGGCATAGCCTGGGTTACACTGTAGGCAAGAGGACTATAATGCTGGAGTATTTTCTGAAGGGAGAGCATGTGTTCTAGCTGCTAGGATGAAAGATAAATTGGACAAGTTCCTGCTTTTCAGAGGTTAGAAATGTACAAGACATGTGCTTACAAAGAAAATGGGACATCCAAAATCAAAGGGAAAGGAACCCCACCAGAAACACCGTGATGCAGGTTTTGCTAGAAGGAAAAGTCCAGGGAGCTTCCGAGGATGGAGAGTTGAATAAAAAGGCCTGGCCTTAGGAAAGCAGGGGTGGACATCAGGAATGTGCACGTGGTGAGGAACGATGAGGATTTTGCACAAACGACAGGAAAGAAAATGCCATGTGTCTCTGTAGAGAAGGAACAAAGCTCGCAGGAAGCTAAGATCCTGCGAAGTGGTTCAGGAAAGGGTGGAAGTGAGGCGCCTGAAGGGTCTGCTTTGCCCTCTTGGGGGGAGATTACAAAGAACTTCCCTGGATTGGGACAGAAGGAGAGTACAAAGCAACCTGAAATGGGTAGCCTAAGTGGGGAACCCGGGTCGACCCCACCCCCTACCGGGCCCGGCTCGGGGCTGAGGGCGGCCCTGGAGGGTCCGAACGGCCTCTCCCGCCCAACATTCCGCCAGGGGGGGGAGGGTGCACATGGCGGGCCCCAGCTCAGCGGGGCGGCCCACGAGCGGCGGGCAGGTCTCGCCCCGCTCCGGACCCGTTTCCCAGCCAGATCCCCACCCCCCGCCCCACCGAGAGCCATCTGGGAGCCCAGCGGCCTGTGGCACCGCTCGCCAGTCCCTCCTCACCTGCCTAGTCCCTGCAGCTGGTCCATGGTGACCGTCAGGCTGGTGACAGGCGACAGGCCCCCCGAGGCTGGCGCGCCGAACAGCGCTTTCACGACGGGCTGCGGCGCGGGAGGCGGGCTGCAGGCGAAGAGCAGGCGGCGGCGGTGCGGGGGCTCTGGGCCCAGTTCCATGGCGGCACCCGGCCTCCCAGGGCTCCCGCTCCCTCTTCCTCCGCCTCCGCCGCGCCGCCCCGCCCCGCCGGCACCGGCCTCGGCCGCGCGCCCCGCCGCGGGCGCCCGTGGGTCAAACACAAACACGACCCCGCGGTTCAGGGATGCGGCTGCCGCGGGCAAGCGGCGCGGACGGGCGGGTGTCTAGACCCGGCAGGCGCCAGGCACATGCACGGGTGCTTCCCCCGCACCCCGCGAGGCCAGCGGGCGGGCGGGCGCCGGCAACCTGAGGATTAAATCCAAACAAACGCGTCGGGTCGGGAAGAGAAAGCGGCCAGGGCCGCAAGGCAACGGCCAGGGCTCACACTCTCTTCACTTTTCTCTCACCCCCTTGCCCGAACCCGGGGTCGCAGAGCACCAAGAGGAGTCTCACCTCTCTTCCGGACTGTCGCAGCCGAGGCGGCCTTTCGCGGTAATAGCTGCTCACTAGGGACCGCCGCTGCCCCGCCCCCCTTTCCTAGTTGGCGCCAAACGGAATCCACCAATCCGTAAGCAACTTCTCCTCCTCGCTCCCGAAAGGCAGCTACGCTGGACCAATGAGAGGGGAAGAAGGAAGCAGCTCGCGGGGCTCTGAGGGGTCATCCGCTTTCCTAAAGGGGCGGGGCCGAGAGGAGGCCCGAGCAGATCCGAATGGATAGGGGCTCAGAGGTCAATGAAAACTCCCAGCGGAACCTGGGAGGCGAGGGTAGAGACCGAGACGCCTCTCTTGCCCCGTTGCATGCTGGGGAGCGTAGTTCCCAACCCTCACCGTGGCCCGGGAACCTCTTACCCGCGGAGGGCCACGACTGCGTAGCCCCTTCCCTGAGGTCCACACGCGGAGGGGACGCGCAGGCTGGAGAGAGCTGTTCTGACCACTCGGGGTCCAGCCGTGGCTCGACCTATAGCCGTGCGGTACTGTAGGCCCCTTCTCCCTTCCTCCCGGGCCTCCAGGCCCCAATTTTTGTAAGAAGAGTAGGAACCGAATGACCCAACGACTGGGCTCTGTGACCTCTAGGCCCCAACAACCAAGCACTTAAGGCTCCTGCAGTGCTAGCCACGGACACACAAGACTCGAGCCCTGCACTGCAGGCTGCTGGACTCCACATTCATTGCTCACTTCCGTTTTAAGCTCATACCATACTTTTTCAGAACCATTTCCTTCGTTTCTACCCTTACCCTCTTGGGAGCTCCTAGACAGCAACAACATAAATACAATAAATACGTAATACATAAATACATCATACATATAGTATTTATGTGACAGACACTGTTCCAAGTGCTTTATCTGTATTAATTCATTTAATCCTTACAACCCTGAGAGGGAGAAATTGTTTCCATTTTATAGGTGACCATATATATATATTTTTTTTTTTAAGATTTTTTTTTTTTTTTTTGACAAAAAGAGAGAGAGAGAGAAGCAAGGCTCCCGGCAGAGCCGGAGCCTGATGCGGATCTCCATCCCTGTACCTGGGTCCCACCAGAGCAACCAGAGCAGAAGGCAGACACTTAGCCGACTAAGCCACTCAGGCGCCCCTGTGGGTGACCATATTTATTTTTGTAACTCCTGCATCAGTGACAGATCCTAGATTGAATGGTTTTATAAAAGTGATGGAGCTGCAAGAGCACTTGTCTGTAGACAGCATGCATAGAGCACACGTTCTGCTTATCTGCTTATTTAAATTGTATATTTTGGGTGTCTGGTGATTATGACCATTACCTCTGGTTAGGGCCAACCATTAAATTCATTAAATTAAGTTTTTTTTTTAAGATTGTATTTATTTGAAAAAAATTTATTTATTTGAGAGAGAGTGAGAGAGTGAATGAGTGGGGGGAAGGGAAGTGAAAGAGGGAGAAGACTCCCCTCTGAGCAGGGAGCTGGTTGTGGGGGCATGATCTCGGGACCCTGAGAATATGACCTGAGTCAGAGGCAGTCACTGAACTAACTGAACCACCTAGGTGCCCCAAATTGTTTCTTTGAAAAATGGCTGAGAGGCCTGGGTGGCTCAGTGGTTGAGCATCTGCCTTTGACTCAGGGAGTGATCCTGGGGTACTGGGACCCAGTCCCACATCAGGCTTCCCACGGGGAGCCTGCTTCTCCTTCTGCCTCTCTTTCTCTGACTCTCATGAATAAATAGATTACTTATGAGAGACAGAGAGAGAGAGAGAGAGAGGCAGAGACATAGGCAGAGGGAGAAGCAGGCTCCATGCAGGGAGCCTGATGAGAGACTCAATGCGGGGACTCCAGAATCACGCCGCAAGCCGAAGACAAATGCCTAACTGCTGAGCCACCCAAGCGTCCCAATAAGTAAAATCTTTAAAAAAGACAAGAAAAGCTTTTGCTTTTATAGATTTGTGTTACGCAAATAATACAAATAATTATAAGCTTAAAAAATACAGATCAGTACAGTTAAAAAAAAACATCTGTGGGGCCCCTTCAGGGTCTGCCTTCAGCTGGGGTCATGGTCTCAGGATTCTGGGATCCCGCTCCCTGCTCAATCGGGAGTCTCCTTCTGCTCCTCCCCCCACTCTCCTGCTCAAGCTTGCACACTCTCTCTCAAATAAATTAAAACTCTTAAAAAATCATAATTTTACCATCTTCAAAGACACAAATGTCAACATCTTAAACTTTTTGCATGTGTGTGCAGTGTAAATATACAATCAGTATTCGTTTCATAGTCAAAGAAAGGAATTGAAAGCTCTTCCTCCTTGCCTAAGCAGACATTCCCAAAATGGATCAGCCCAAGAGGGCTAACATATTGAAGCACTTCCACCAGCGAATCCAAGTACTGGAATAAAAACCTGATATTTGAAATGTGAAATGGAAGCAAAAGGAAAAGCATCATTTCCCCAGAACACTTCCCACATTCACTTAGGGCATGCTCTCCAAAATCCAAGAGGAGCCCTAGGGTAAGGGAGGAACACTACACTGAGTGGGAGGCCTGAGTTCTTTTTTTTTTTTTTTTAAGATTTTATTTATTTATTCACGAGAGACACAAAGAGAGAAGCAGAGACATAGGCAGAGGGAAAAGCAGTCTCCATGCAGGGAGCCCGATGTGGGACTCAATCCTGGGACCCCAGGATTGCACTCTGAGCCAAAGGAGGTTGCTCAACTGATGAGCCACCCAGGCGTCCCAAGGCCTGAATTCTAATATGATTCTGGGACAAGTCAATTTTTGCTCATTCATTCAGTCTTTAGTAAGAGCCTACCAATTTGCTAGATCCAAACAGGGTCAGTGTTTCCCTGGACCTTTGCCTGAAATGGCCTTCTCACCTCCATAGTCACTTTACTCAGCAAACATTCACCCATTCCAGGAGAGCTCTACCCTCAGACATCCTAACTGATATATTCCCCAGTTATCATCCACCTTACAGGCACCATATGTTTACATTTGATTCAGTGATTATTTGATCGGGGTGAGTACCCCCCCCAAATGACTATAAACTTAAAAGGGTAGGGACCCTACCCTTTTGAGCCCCTTATATAGTACCAGCCAGTGCCTGGTTCAAGGGACTCCTCGAACATAAAGATTGGATACATGTTACAAAGAAAAAGTGTGACCCCTGCGGGGGTGGAGGGGGGAGAAAGAAAAACTATGAATGCCTTGAGTGTTTAAGAAGGGAATCTGAGGAGAGCCTGGGGCTCAGTGGTTGAGCATCTGCCTTTGACTCAGGTCGTGATCCTGGTCCTGGGCTGGATTCCTGAAGCAGGCTCCCCACAGGGAGCCGGCTTCCCCCTCTGCCTATGTCTCTGCCTCTCTCTCTGTGTCTCTCACGAATAAATAAATTAAAAAAAATTTTTTTAAGATTTTATTTATTTATGAGAGACACAGAGAGAGATAGAGAGGGAGGCAGAGACACAGGCAGAGGGAGAAGCAGGCTGCATGCATGGAGCCTGACATGGAACTCGATCCCGGGTCTCCAGGATCAAGCCCTGGGCTGAAGGTGGCACTAAACCACTGAGCCACCCGGGCTGCCCAAATAAATAAAATCTTAAAAAAAAAAAAAAAAAAAAAGAAGAAGGGAATCTGATATGTCCAGAAGAATAAATCCTTAGGAGATAGGAGAGAGTATTCTGGGCAGAGGGACAGGCTGTAAGCAAGGGCTCTGAGGCTGGCCAGAGTCTCTTGTGCATAGCCGAGAACAATGGGAGAAGAGGAGGGTGGGGAGGGCCCAGACTCTGCAGGGGCTTGTGGGCTTGAAGACCACATTCTGGAACTTGGCCTTTATCTCAAAGGCTATGGGAAAACAAAGTAACTTTTACATTTTAAGAAGATAACCCTAACCCTGGCTGTAGAATGGGGAATTGATTCCAGAGCAGCAGTGGTAGAGCTGAGGAGATCAGTTTGGAGGGGATCATCACCAGGTCCTGCTAGGAGAAGGTGGTGACTTGAATGAGGCAGGAGGTGATGCAGAGGTGGGAAGGAAGCCTCTCTGGTACTTGAGAATGGTGACAAGAGGCGGACCACAACTGGGTCTCTTAAATACTGAGGTGCCCCAGCAGGGTTCCTGCTTCCTCCCTGACATTCCTTGGCAACCACAGAAACTTGGCTTTTATTTTTTTAAAAAAAGATTTTATTGATTTATTCATGAGAGAGAGAGAGAGAGAGAGAGAGAGAGAGGCAGAGACACAGGCATAGGGAGCAGCAGGCTCCCCACAGGAAGCCCCCCATGTGGGACTCCATCCCGGGTCCCCAGGATCATGTCCTGGGCCAAAGGCGGCACTAAACCGCTGCGTCACCCAGGCTGCCCAGAAACTTGGCTTTTATTTTACTTTATTTATTTATTTTTTTTTAAGATTTTATTTATTCATGAGAGACACACACAGAGAGAGGCAGAGATACAGGCAGAGGGAGAAGCAGGTTTCATGCAGGGAGCCTGATGTGGGATTTGATCCCAGGACTCCAGGATCACACCCTGGGCCAAAGGTAGGCTCCAAACCACTGAGCCACCTGGGGATCCCTGAAACTTGGCTTTTAAATCTGCATTAGGAAAAAATAAAAAAATAAATTTGCATTTTGCTTGGAGAAGGGAGTCGTCTTGTAAAAAACAAAAACAAAACAAAATCCAAATAATTTTCCATCCATTTATCAGACTTAATTTCTGGAGATAAAAGAAACATTCCTTTTCTAATTTCATGTTTTACTTGTGCCCATCCTCCTTTCACCCAACTGTGCTAGAGGCAGGTTTGGGTTTCTGCCTGGTTAAGGTAGGCAGCATGAACTCCTCCCCACCCCCACACTGCACCCCCCCACCTCCATCCCCCTCCAGGCTATCAGGCAGGAACTTGTATATAATCTGCGTCTTTGGGGCACCTGGGTTGGTCAGTGGTTGAGCGTCTGCCTTTGGCTCAAGTCATGATCCTGAGGTCCTGGGATGGACCCCAGGTAGGGAGCCTGCCTCTCCCTTTTCTTCTGCTGCTCCCCCTGCTTGTATTCTCTCTCTGTGTCAAATAAATAAA